CGCTAATGTACCAGAATGACGCGAGTATATGTTCGTTTTGTTTGATCATCGCGCTCATCTCGGTAAAAATGAGTTATAGCTCAATTCAATCTGTGGTATTTCAGGCTGTCTCTGTGTTTCTTTCTTTTTTTTTCATTTGTCAAAGAGGAGAGATGAGAGGATTTTTATTCAAATTTCAACTTTTGGGAAATAAGGCGTTTGTTTCTGTGTTTAAATGGAAATAAATTAGCCTGCTCAAACAACTTCCATAGAAAGTTGTGCAAATCAGCATTTTTCCTCCACAAAGATTTAATTTCGCCATAACTGATTAAAAAATTAATAAAATTTAGTAAAATTAAGCGAAACTACTTTTTCGTTTACATTAAAAGCATTTTTCTGTTCTTCAAATGAAACAAATTATTCCATGTGCAAATTAAATGCATTGAGGTGTTGGTTTCTGTGAAATTAAAAGGTAAAGAATGTGTTCCCTTTTGTGCATTTTATATATATATATATATATATATATATATATATATATATATAGAGAGAGAGAGAGAGAGAGAGAGAGAGAGAGAGAGAGAGAGAGAGAGAGATTGGCTCAGGTTTGTTTGTTGTTTTGACGCAGTTTCTCCTTTTTATACATTCGAGAATTAAGGAACAAGGAAAAGAAAACTTGGGGGAAAACATCAGTGGCAAGAGTAAAAACGTTTTTCAAAATGCCAAAAGGCGGAATGCAGTTTTTTTCCTCCTGCACTTTTCCAGTTATAGCAAAACAATTCAGTAACATGCAAATATCAATGTTTCATTTTATGTGATGATCGCTATAGTCATCGTCGTCTTCGTCTTCCTCCGCTTATCTGGGTCCGGGTCGCTGGGGCAGCATCCCAACTAGGGAGCTCCAGACCGTCCTCTCCCCGGCCCTCTCCACCAGCTCCTCCGGCAGGACCCCACGGCGTTCCCGGACCACATTGGAGATGTAAACTCTCCAACGTGCCCTGGGTCGACCCGGGGGCCTCCTGCCGGTGTCGGTACAGGATCGGCTCGGGGTCCTTCGACTGCCTATGACGTCAAAGTAGTTGATTGGCTGAACATGAAGCTTATGGAAGTGACGTTATCACGTTATGATTTTGATTGGTCAGAACAAATTTGTGGTTGTAGTCCTGCAGTCCAAAAATCAACACTTTTGGGGGAAAATATGTTTGAATTTCTAAATTAAATGTAAAATATAAGCAAATGATAAACGGTGACCCTCATAAGCTCTTGATGTTGATGAAATGGGGCAAAATAAAATATAAGAACTTTATTGAAAGACACCAAGCAATATTTTGAGTCAAAGAATGTATTCAGATAACAAATGAGGAAATATACAGACGAACTCCACATTAATACAAACAGATATGGCTTCACATAAGAACCGTTCTATATTTTGTCAGTCCGATGTTGGTTTTATGTAGTTTCACATTCTTTACAAAACAAAGATAATATGGTGTTTAATTAACAAATGACAATTATAAAGAAAACATTTTTGTTAACAAACAAGAATTTATTAACAAAACTGCTGATGTCTTTCCAAAACGTATGTGTGAAAGCCGAGTAGATTTGCAGTAATGTGACGTCATCGTCAGTCGAAGGACCCCGAGCCGATCCTGCACCCGAGCAGATCCTGTACCGACACCGGCAGGACATGCCCGAAACACCTCCCCAGGGAGGCGTCCAGGAGGCATCCTGACCAGATGCCCAAACCACCTCAATTGACTCCTTTCGATCCAGAGGAGCAGCGGTTCTACTCCGAGTCCCTCCCGATTGTCCGAGCTCCTCACCCTATCTCTAAGGCTGAGCTGGAGTTGATCGCTATGAAAAGAAAAATAAATTATTTTAATAAATGTCTTTTTGTAGTTAAAAATCATTGAGTGAATGATGCAAACACGACAAGAGTCATCTCATGGCACTCCACGTAGTAAACATTCTAATACAGGTCAGTTCATTAAGCCAATAAGAAAACAGTTTCCTATATAAGGAACCCAGCAAATTGCATCAAGTCACTGACTGGAGTCAGTGTCTTTACAGCAACCCTCATACTAAGCAAGCATTTAGCGATTGTGGAGAGGAAAACTCCCTTTTAACGTGAAGAGCAGTGTTGCCAACTCGGCGACTTTGTCACTGTTCCTAACGACTTTTTGACCCCCCTCAACGACTTTTTTTCCAAAAAGCGCCTAGCGACAAACTTAGCGACATTTCTCAGGACCCGTTGCTACTTTCTATAGAACTTTCATGTAGATATTCCCTACAGATTAGCAACAAAGAAACCGTTTGCACTCTGAACCGTTCTTCCGGGAGTAAGGAAAGAGAACGATAATCTGCGCATGTGCACGAGGACTGACCAATCATAAACCGTTTTCGGCCGGTCTGATTCGCTGAAGCTGCAGAGCTGGAGACCGCCGATTTACGTCTGCTGCTTTCATATTGCTGCAGGCTCACGCTTCTACTAGAGACGGCGCGGGCGTCAACCTGCCATCTCTGGTTCTGCAGCCGTCAGACACTTTGGTTTTTCCTGCATTTGGCAAATAAAGTCATCGGGAGTTTCAACTACCGTCCCGTTTACACACGCAGCTCTGTGGCTCATCTGAATTTCCTTCAGTGACACAGGGATGGTTATACTATGAGACACCCGCTCCCTTTTGCTCGGAGCGCCGTTATTATCACGATGGAGAGAATACACAACAGAGAAGTTGAGAAACTATGAGGTGTAAAAAAACAGCTTTTTAGGAAAATGTCTGTGAGAATGAGGAGAGCAGGAGGTCTGAGTTATATCCTACAACAGAACTGTTTGGATCACCACACCATATCTGTTTTAATGCCACTTTATTGGTAGTTTTGGAATTTATTGTACATATCAAAGCAATTTGGGCCATTTTAATCATACTAATTAATAACTTTAACATATAACATAGTATTTATTTTCCTCCCTTTTAGTCCTATTATATATATATATATATATATATATATATATATATATATATATATATATATATATATATATATATATATATATATTAGATGCCATAGAGAAAACGAACGCTAATGTGGCGTGATGACGTCATCAATATGTAAATAAGCACGTGACGTCATCTGGCGACATCTAGTGACTTTTGGGGGGAACTTCAGCTACTTTCAGTCAAAAACAGTCAAGTGGTGCTCGCTGCAGAACCACAAAGGCGGAGCTGCACCAGAAGGTGGAGCTGCACCAGAGTCAGCCCCGCCCATTCCAGAATCAGCCCCGCCCATTCCATAAGAGTCAGTCCAATTCCTTCTAGTTGTCAGACTTGATAGCATTCTGGAACCAAAGAGGGTGTTATAGCTAAAAAATTGAGGACGGAGTTGAGAAGTTAATTGAACAGTTTTTGTAAAGGTTCCATATAATTAAAAATCAAACTTTTGGAACTTTTAATCATGTTATATTGTCATTTCCTCATAAGAAACACGCCAAAGCCATTTTTGGCCTCATTCATGCATTTTCTTCCCATCTCAGCTTCAATTTGGTCTCCTCCCCCGAAGAGGGTCTGGTCTTGGTTCTCAAATCTGGATATTCTGTGAATTTTCTGACAAATTATTTCTTAAATGACTTCTTCTGAGACACCGCCGGAAAAATCATACATACCATCTACAAAGACACACCGGATAGGATGATAAAATGTAACGCCACCTGACTTTTTTAAGATGTGGTGGTGTAGTGGTTATAGAGTCAAGTTGACATGCAGTTTTGCGCAGGTTCGCCTCCCACTAGCAGAAATATTAGGTAGCTTACAACCCCTTTTCCTCATTTCTAGCTACACTTGCCAGTACTATGTTTACAACAATTTACTGGTATACCGTTTAACATATAATGACTAATGTGTTTATTTATTTATTTGTTTATTTAGCCAGTGTGAGTCCATTTGTGAGCAGAGTTTCAACTAAAATACTGTTTAGGAACGACCAAATTCAAAGAACTTTTAGAGACATAAATATTTTGCTGAAAATAAACATTACAACTAAAATATAAACAAATTAAAATGTTTCAGCTGGCTAAATGGATTGTTGCCGACCTCACCGAGAATCGAACCAGCACCAGCTGAGGGGAAAGCAAAACTTAAGTTAAGCGATCTCGCCACTGGACTACCAGGGCACGTATGTAAATCACAGATGCTGTTGTACACCACTTTTATTGGAACGGCTGTGGGTAGATATTTGTTAAAAGAAACCTTTTCATTTCGAGATATATTCAGGCTTTGTCATGTAGCAAGTTATATTTATCTTGTTTAATTGAAGCATAGAACATAGCATTAACGACTGTAAACTAGTAACAGCCGTAATTCATGTGGGTCAGTTTAGTTTGCGATAAAGTTGGAAAAACAAAAACGGAAGTCAGTGGGCTAGACTGAGTTTGCGTGAATGGGCGGGGCTGACTCTGGTGCAGCTCCACCTTATGGTGCAGCTCCGCCTTTGTAGGTCTGCAGCGAGCACCCTCTCAAAACAGTTGGCAACACTGGTGAAGAGACCTCCAGAGGATCCTGGCTCAGTACAAGCAGCCATCCACCATGACTCACTGGGCGGTAATAATGAAACTGCAAAAACGTCTAATAAAGCAACTACTTTATTATCATTACGTTTTATGAACTGAAATTTTATCAGATTTACAAATAAAACATTAAACATTATTGGTCAGTGTGTTTCTGTAATCAAAAAGAGGCATCAGGAATCGTGTTTACAATTACACTCATATGGTATTGTGCCCCAAAAACCACCCCCGCTGTAAAATGCCCCAGTTGAGAAAAATGCGGACGATTTTTCCATAAATAAATGTTCAAATAAAGGAATGTCAGACAGAAATAATGTGTTTTTAACGTAGCTGTACATAAAAAAAGATTTACGATGAAACCCTCTGATATTTTTTCGCTCATTGAATGTGTCTGGGACTTTTAATGGCTGCCCTTGCACCGCCTGCTTCTTACCTTTGGAGTATTTTTCAGCTTAACAGTGTCGACTGTCACGTGAGCTTTCCTTCAGTCATCACGTGACTTAGCTTGTCCTGTTTCGCTTCCACACTAGTTTCATATTACCTTCTGCAGTTACATATTATCCTGTTTTAGCAGGGTGCAACAGTCTTAAACACGAAAAGAAACGGATAATAAGTCTGCCACTTTTAACAGCTACACCGAGGCGTCGCGTGCCAACAGGAAGTGCAGGCAACCTACTATCCCTGTGGAAACATTAGCTTAGCATAGCCGGCTGCTAACGCTATGAGGCAACTATTAGCCAGTTGGTAATCTCTCTGTAGCTCGTTCATCATACCTTCAGCGGCTGGTAAGCGTTTTTTTAACTGTTGGGATGCATTTACGCGGGTTATCACGCGTTCTTCCCTCCTTCGCATGTCTATAGCGATTTTAGCTCAATCGAGGTTAATCTGCTGATCAGAAACACGCGAGTCCCATAAGAAGTTATAACTTGTTCATATTGTTTTTTGATTGAGCTAAACATAAAGGGAAAACATGCCCCACAGCTCTCTTGCTTATGTTGAAATATTTAGAGATTTATTTAGTTTTGTTCAAATTACCCATAGCCATTTCCACAATTTATATTTAAATAATATTATATCCTATAAACTTCAAAACAAACGTAAAATCTGTCAACTTGTGCCTGGAGAGCAAATTGAAAAACAAACATTTAATCAAAACAGAACATGAAAGGGGCAAATGTTCTTTAGGATTGAGTGGCTTTTGATAGCTCAGCATCAGCAAAATAGATGATTGAGCCTCCTAGTCCCACATTACTTATAAAAAACCTACATGTTTTGTTAAATTCACCGAAAGTCGTAAAGACTTAATTAAACAAAATAAATAACTAGCTTAAAACTAGTTGATCTTGGAGTGGTCTTAAAAAATAACTAAAATCTAGAAATTGTGAGTATGAAAACAAAGTTAAACAAACTGTAATATCTGCTATAAAACATTTGATATTTAAATTTTTATATTTCTCCTAAAACCAGAGAAGTATGTTGTCCCTGAGGAATGTTCAGCAGAGATGAACAGTGAAAACTTCACCCTCTGTGAGAAGGTCGTCGCTCCCTCCTACGTCCGACAGGGCTCTCAGGCGCGTCGTGGCCATGAGCAGCTCATCAGACTCTTACTGGAGCAGGTCAGGTCAACTCGTGATCTTGTGCCCATTCAAGGTTTCTGTGGATGTCCTCTTAAGTTTAGTGTTTATCAGGGTAAGTGTCCTGAAGAAGGATGGAGTGAGAGCACCGTGGAGCTCTTCCTGAATGAGCTGGCTGTTATGGACAGCAATAACTTCCTGGGGAACTGTGGCGTTGGAGAGCGGGAAGGCCGGGTGGCGTCCGGTTTGGTGGCGAGGCGACACTACAGGTTGGTGTTATTGCTCGTTTTTTAATTATCCCACCGTAGTTGCTTATTTTTAAGTTTTGCTCTTCTTGTTGGCTGTTGCAGATTAATCCACGGCATCGGTCGGTCAGGTGACATCGCTGCTGTTCAGCCTAAAGCTGCAGGATCCAGCCTGCTGAACAAGTTGACCAACTCAGTGGTGCTGGATATCCTAAAGATCTCTGGTTTGTGATAAATACTCTGAAACACCACAAATTATTTAGATATTAATCCCTATATAGCTGCTGCTTGCCAAATAAAGATCTTAAAGAGAATTAGAGTGAAATCACACTCCATTCCTTATGTGTTACAGGTGTCCGCAGTGTGGCGAGCTGCTTCGTTGTTCCCATGGCAACAGGAATGAGCTTGACATTGTGCTTCCTGACTCTGCGCCACAGGAGACCTAAAGCCTGCTACATCATCTGGCCTCGAATCGACCAGAAGTCCTGTTTCAAATCTATGATCACAGCTGGTAATAATAAATGTTGAATGAGTATTAAAGAGAATATTTTGAATGATTGTACTTTTTAGTAGAATATTGCTTTGGAATGAGTTCTTATTGAAGAGAAAGACAGAGCATGTATTTTTGACCATTGCTCTTGTTAGAAGTCGTAATTTCTTAAAGGAGCAATATGTAAGAATTCTACAGTAAAATAATAATAATCGCAAAACAGTCTAATGTCTCAATCATGTTGGAAGGAAGAAGCCACAGCATCTTTTTGTTTTACTCTAATATTGAGTGAAGCAGGCTAGAGGCTAACGTTGAGCTAACAATACCAACGTTTAATTAAAAGCAAATAGTCGGCTCTGAAAATATCTGAAGCTACTTTTTCAATTACCAACAACTCAATATTACAGTGAAATGTGTGTGAAGTGAATAATGAGTCAATGGTGATGTTTTACTTCCTTTAATGAGTCGTTCGGATTTATAACAGCAAGCTAACAAGACGGCAAACAGCCACACTTCCTGTAATCCCAGAGCCAATCTACCGTAATAGGTGTAGTAAGTGCTTCCTACCATAAAACACTAAAGAGTGCCAACACCAGATTTGATAAATGATAAATGACCCACACTTGTATAGCGCCTTTCAGAGTCAGAGGACTCCAACATACTTTACACTACAGTGTATCATTCATCCATTCACATACATATTCACACACTAATGGTGATGAGCTATAATGTAGCCACAGCTGCTCAGGGGCTCACTGACTAAAACTTGGTTTATGCTTGTCACATTTACTTTCCGCTTGGTGATGCGGCTCGCGGATGGAACGCGCTTCACAACTCGCAGCGTTTATGGTTCATGCGGCTTGTCTCTGCGGTGAGCCAATATTCTCCCAAACTGAACGTGGCAGCATGGAGCTCTACGGCATGCATCCAACACTACACCATAGTAGAAGTAAAAATTACTGTTTACAACATGGCATTTCAGCAGTTTTTAACAGCGTCCTCGTCTTTTCCGACATTACGATCTATTTCTCTCCAAGAATTATTAACATGTTGATCACGGTGATCTTTGAGAGCTGAATCATACAAATGTCTGTATTTACGACCCTCTGCCATACTAGTTCTTGCCAGTCCACCATGTTTTTCCGTGTTCGACCGTCCGCGTGGTTAGAAAATTTCCTAGGTGCGCGGTGCAGAGAGTTTGGGCCGTGCAGAGGCGCGGTGGAAGGGCGTGGTTGTTAAAATGACGCAAGTTTGCCGCACGGAGCCGTGCGAACCTCGCGGACGCGTCAAGCATAAACCAACCTAAAGGCAATGCTGCAACCGTCTTGTCCAAGGACACAACAGCAGAATTCTCTGCTGGGAGCCAGGATCGATCCCACAATCCTCTGATTACTGGACAACCCGCTCTACCTCTTGAGCTTCTCCTGCCTTACATAAGCACATGTAATATCAATGTATTTATTTACTTACTCGTCTTCACTTGTCATCTAAAATCTTCTGGTGCTGATCCATAACTGGCAACAGCCATGAAACTATTGGAACAGCAGTGAGAAAGTGACTTTTTTAAATTTATTTATATATTTTAGAAAACTGGCCTGCAGTTATCAGATTTCACCACAGGAGGTCATTCTTACTTCCTTCTTACATATTGCTTCTTTAAGGGTACAGCTGATTTTTTTTATTTTTGACAGGTTTTGAACCTGTAGTTGTGGAGAACGTCCTGGATGGGGATGAGTTGCGAACGGACTTGGAAGCCATTGAGCGCAAGATTGAGGAACTGGGAGCCGAGAACGTACTGTGTGTTCACTCCACAACGTCCTGCTTTGCTCCAAGGGTCCCAGACCGGTAATAAATAAGTACATTCAATTCCTGATTTTTCTTATAATGTTACGTTGCCTGCTGGTGGTGGTCGGAGGGGCCGGTGGCGCCAGTGCTCGGCAGCCTCACTTCTGTCAGTGCGCCCCAGGGCAGCTGTGGATACATCGTAGCTCATCCCCACCAGTGTGTGAATGTGTGAATGACTGATTGTGTTGTAAAGTTCCTTGAGGGGTTCCAGGACTCTAGAAGGCGCTATATCAAATACAGGCCATTCACCATTTACCATTTTACTGTATCAATATGGTTTTCAAGATTTTCTCATCTCTCAACGTAAACAAACGTTTTGGAGGCTGTTTGGTGGGAATATTCCACTGAGGAACTTAAAGGAACTCTGGGTCCATCTGTAGAGGTTTATCAAATCCAATGAATCTTGTTTGTCCCTAAATTATTCTTTTTCACCTTTTAGTTTGTATGATTCCATAATTTATTATCTAAAATTGTTGTTTTGAAAACTAAAAGCAGAAAATATGAAAATAAAAATGGTAATGAAAAGGTAATGGAAACATTACCAACGCTGCATCAGTCTAGGTACGTCCTCAAACGCACGTGCATGTTCTGTGATTTACATCTGTACTTGGGCGGATTGGCTATTGGCTAATACTTAGCAACACTCATTTCAAGTTGCATGGGGCTCTCAGATCTGCTCCACAGTTTCAGAGTGACCTATTTCCTTTTTGTGTCTTCCAGGCTTGAAGAGTTGGCCACCATGTGTGCAAAATATGATATCCCTCACATAGTCAACAATGCGTATGGAGTGCAATCATCCAAATGCATGCATCTTATACAACAGGTACTTCAGTGTGTTATTTAATGTTGTGATATAAGAACATTTTCTTTGTTTCCTGTTGATCGTGGAGTTACAGTGTGTGATTGCTTAAATGTTTTGCTGTTCTTCAGGGGGCTCGGGTGGGAAGAATCGATGCCTTTGTCCAGAGCTTGGACAAGAACTTCATGGTTCCAGTAGGTGGAGCCATCATTGCTGGTTTTGATGAGGCTTTTGTTCAGGAGATCAGCAAGATGTACCCAGGTGAGGGATACCAGTGCTTTTCAGCCCCATCAGTTCCAGCGTGCTCTCTATAATTAATGCTTCTCTGGTTTCTGGTCAGGTTCCTGCTTACTTTAAGAATGCTGTAATCCACCCCCTTCTTAAAAAACCGAGTCTTGACCCCTCTCTCCATAGCAGCTTCAGACCCATCTCTAAACTTCCGTTCATCTCCAAGATCTTGGAAAAGGTCGTGGCTAAACAACTCACAGCTGCTCTTGATGAACATAACATCTATGATAGCTTCCAGTCAGGTTTTTGTAGAGCTCATTCTACTGAAACAGCTCTTCTTAGGGTCTCCAATGACCTTCTGACTCACAGTGATGCAGGGGACTGTTCTGTTCTGGTCCTGCTGGACCTGACTGCAGCCTTTGACACTGTTGACCATCACCTGCTACTGGAGAGGCTCAGAGACTGGGTAGGCCTGTCAGGAACTGCTCTGGAGTGGTTCTCCTCTTATCTTTCTGAGCGTTCCTTTTCTGTGGCCGTCTCCAGGTTTAGGTCCTCCACCACCTCTCTTACCCATGGTGTCCCACAAGATTCTGTGCTGGGGCCTCTGCTTTTCCTCCTCTATCTGCTTCCTCTTCAACACATCCTGAGCTCCTTCAAAGGAATCTCCTACCATCTTTATATAGATGACATCCATCTGTACATCTCCTTTAAGCCCCACGAGATGTCTAAGCTGCAGCTGTTACACACCTGCTTAGACTCTATCAAAACCTGGATGGCTGGGAGTTTTCTACAGCTGAATGAAGATAAGACTGAGATCCTCATCTGTGCCCCAGACAAGCTGGTTCCCAAAGTCAGAGACTCTCTTGGTCAGCTTGCTTCTCAAACCAAACCTTCCGTCAGGAATCTTGGCATGACCTTTGACCCAGCTCTCACCCTGGATTCTCATGTCAGTTCTCTTGTTCGCTCTTCCTTCTTCCATCTCAGGAACATTGCTAAGCTGAGTCCCGTTCTGTCCCGCTCTGAACTTGAGACAGTTATCCACACCATCTCCTCACGCTTAGACTACTGTAACTCTCTTTTCACGTGTCTGAGCAGAACCTCCCTGAACCGTCTACAGGTGGTTCAGAACGCCTGTGCTCGGCTTCTGACCAAGTCCTCCAAACACACCCACATCACCCCGCTTCTCCTCCAGCTTCACTGGCTGCCAGTCAACTTCAGGGTTCATTTCAAGATGCTGGTTCTGGTCTATAGGGCCTTACATGGACAAGCACCATCTTACATTGGTGATCTTTCAGTCCCTAAACCCCCAGCAGGTCCCTGAGGTCCAGTGATCAAAGCCTACTGGTTGTGCAGCGCTCCAGGCTAAAGACCAAAGGTGACAGATCATTTGCTGCTGTGGCCCCCAGACTCTGGAACCCTCTCCCCCTGAGCCTGAGATCAGTGGACTCAGTGGTCTCCTTTAAAAAGCAGCTGAAAACTCACTTGTTCAAGCTGGCTTTGGTGTGACCTTCATCACACTCTTCTTGTTCTGCTCTCCCCACCTATTCCAGGATCCACTGATTTCCCTCTTTCCTATTCACTCTCTCTCTTTCTTTACATTTTTAATCACAATTATCTCTGTTTTTGCTAATTTAAAATATATTTTGAATTATTTTCTAAATTCTTTTTTATATTTTTTGTTTTCGTGAAGCGCCTCGTGATTTTTATCTTGAGCGGCACTATAGAAAAGATATTTTCTTCTACTTCTTCTTCTTCTTCTTCAATTTCACTCTCATTTCTGTTGAACTTGTGTTTATTTAAAAACTTTAAAATGCTTTCTCTGATTTTTAGTACTTGTAATACTTTTCCCACTCCCAAAGGCTTTTATAATTAACCATTTTACACATCTGGAGGAACCAGATTTGTTGTAATAAGATTAAAGGTTGACTATGGAGCACGGACACTCTGGTGAACTCTGGTGTTCAGAGGTGGTATTGCAACAACAAGACTAAATTTTCCACCCAGTGGGATGTAGGTTCACTGCTGACATGTTCCAGCACCTTGTTCAGAGACAAATCATACAGGATAAGGACTCATTTCTGCTAATGTTTATTTACAACCGTATTTACTGTTAGAACATCTTCTGGGCTCAGAATCAGCTGCTTGACTTCTCAAGTTTGCCATTTTACACAATCCCAGCCTTGCCTTGCTGAGTGGACTTTTTAACACAGCAGTGCCCTCTAGTGGCTGGTAGTCCAACAAAATAAAATTTTGATGATTTTTTTATATATATAGCTTTTAAAGGAGAAACTGTACATTCATTCTGCACACCTCTAAACACCCCACGGAGGTATTATTTTTTTAAAATATAGCTTTTTATTAAAATGTTCTATATTCTAACTTTAATTGTGTCATCATGTCACACGGTGTCACAAGATTAATGGTGTCATTCACACCTGGTGAGTCCTCACAACCTTTTAATAAGACCTGGGGTGTTTCTCAATGTCAAGGCGCCTGGCCTTGCGAGGCGATGTCTTGCGAGGCCAGGCGCCTTGCTTTCGAGGACACTGTCCTTCCTTGGTCAAAGAAAACGGTTAAATGGAACAGACTTGCATCACATGACCATGGCGGTCACGTGACACAGGAGATGACGTTATATTTTATACGTATAAGTTTCAGTATAAATATATAACAAGCCTTTTACTTTTTAAATTGTGTAAATATTTGTTAAATTAAATATATAAGTGAGTTACTACCAGCTAGCCACCAAAGCTGCAACTACTAAGCAGCTAACCAACCATAGATAACTGCTTTGGATATAAAAAAACATTTCAGACATCAGCCCAATAGATACAATTAGTTGACTTACATTTAAACTTGAAATTTGGCCCCGAAGTAGCTGCCGGCTTCTGATCTGCCATCCTTTTGAAAATACCGCGGTGTGTTCTGGGAAATTTTTGACCAAAGGAAGGGTACAAGACACCTCCCATGTATCCTTGCTTAGCTAGCTAAACGGCTAACAAACTGAGAACAAACGCCTCGGTAGAACATAAACACTGGGACACGTCTTGGCGGCTCCTGATGACGTATCTCCTAGGCAACTGGGGCAGGACCAAGACATCAAGGTGACGTTTCTTGGCATTGAGAAACCCCCCTAGACCTGGTTTATCCCCTGGCTGTTATTGAGCTGATGTGTTTTATTTTAAAAAATATGAACTCTAGTTTGTGAAAAGATTCTTTGTCATTGTCAAAAATTCTGTTTGTTCTCTTTCAAAATGAGAAAAGTGTCCAAAATCTTAAAGTTAAACTGCATTTAATAAAGACACAATGGCTCTCATTTAAAATGATGAATAACTACAAATGTGTGTTTTATAAGCAGTTTTTATGTCACTGGACCTTTACAAAGTAGACAGTTCCACACTCCAATCCTGCTTTCCTTTAGCTCCCTGTAATCTGGCTTCATTCTACTGCTTACCTCAGGAGCAGGAAACTCCAGCCCTAGAGAGGTGCCATCCAGCTCATTGTAGGTTTCCCTGCTTCAACACCTGATTTCAATCAGCAGGTGATTAACAGGCTTCTGCAGAGCCTGATGAGCTGCTGAACAGGTGAATCGACTAAGCAGGAAAATAACTAAAACATGCTGGTTAGTGGCTCTTCGGGACTAGGACATGTTGATTATCTTCAAATGGTCTGCAAAACTTTTTACAAATTTGTACTCATTCAGTTGTTTAAAGAAGTAAGAAGGTAACCACGTTTCCTTTATGCCATTTTGTTCTTTAATTAAAATTAGTTTCTTTTTCAAAACAAGACGTTTAAAGGAACTTCTTCCAGGAGTCACCCCCCTCCCCCTTTTTTGCCCTCAAATGTCAAAGGAAATGGCAAAAAAAACTTTCTAAACAATGCCTCTTTCTTCTGAAAAGGTATTCAAACAAAAGCAGTTGTCTAATGTACACCTCCGTGCTTCTTGTAAATGAGAAAATAAAACAATAGTGGGAAGAAATTAGCTGATTAATGACAAAGATGTGCTGAAATGGTTACTTTAGATTTATTGGTACTTAAACAGTAAACAGTAGCCAAAGCAAAGAGGCCCAGCCTTCCCTCTCTGCAACACCTTGGGCCAGCTTCTCCAGGGGAATCCTAAGGTGTTCCCAGGCCAGACGAGGAACACATTCCCTCCAGCGTGTCCTGGGTCTTCCTTTAGGCCTCCTCCTGGTTGGACATGCAAAGAAAACCTCACCATAGAGGCGTCAAGGATGCATCCTATCCAGATGCCTGAGCCACCTCAACTAGCTCCTCTCTTTATGGAGGAGCAGCGGATCTTTTAAAAAAAAGGAAATATTCCCAAATTTGTTTCTTGGGTGACTCACGAGGGCACTGAAAGTAAGACCTGGAGAGCTGTGGTTGTGAGGAATGCCGTCCCACAGATCTGTGGTGTTTTGTTACTCTGCTCATCGTGGATTGTCGGCTGCATGTCTTTGACACTCATGGGCCATGTCGTATGCCTCCATTGTCGAGGCTTGCTGACCTGAGCTGTTGGCAGTGCCTGTTGTAGCGGCAATCCCCTGGTTAGGATGTCTCCTGGGCACCTCCCTGGTGAACTTATACAGGCACGTCCAACCAACTGAATCAGTAATCAAAAACAAAAATAAACTTGCATTCAATACGCAATAAAAAGTTAGAGATCCCACTTAACTTTGTCAGTTTTACATTATTCACCTAGCGAAAACTACCAGCAGGCTTGTCCACATCTGAACTTCAATTACATTTTTGAAACTTGATGCCAGTAGTAGATATTTTCAACTCACTATGGTTTGCAGATAGCAGACTATCTTTCTGTGTGAGCTTGGATGGATGGATCACTGTGTTGTAAAGCGCCTTGGGGGGTTGTAGAACCCAAAAAAGTGCTATATCAAATACAGGCCATTTACCATGTTGCTGTCTTGAAAGTCTTATTTTTAATTTGTTTGTTTTCTAGGTCGTGCGTCAGCTTCGCCCTCCCTTGACGTCCTCATTACCCTTCTTTCTCTGGGTGCCAGCGGCTATAAGAAGTACCTGTCAGAGAGAAAGGTGAGGACATGAACCTTTAGAAAGCTGAGCATAGATCATCCCAGGGCTCGGATTATACTGTGTTTGCTTGATGCTTTCAGTTTGTTATAACATCAAGATACATTTTTTTATTGATGTTTCTGCATCTTTCTCCTTAAATGACTAACCCCCAAATTCCACTACCTCCGCTCCGGTCCGCCCCCGCCTTCCGCAGCCGCTCGCTTACGAACTCAATGTTTACTGGTACCCGCTCTACAACGGCTCCGCTCCGGTGCGGAGACCTGAGGTGGGCAAACAAGCATGCGCGGGATTTTCGAGATCTTGCGATACAGTCCGAGTAATAAACGCGGAAGTTAGATCCAAACACCCGTTGTGTGGGAGAAACATCGAAATGAACTGTTTAATCTGCCCATCATTTGTGTTGAGAGATCAGCAGTGTTTGGATCAACAGGGTGACTACTTTGATAGTGGAAACTGTATTTATGGCTTACTTTTGTGCATTTAAAGTTCAGCCGCCATTGACAGTTGTTAAAAGTTGTTAAACCTGTGCATATGAAACAAAAAACGCATTTTGTTTATCGATTTATTGTGAAAAACGGAAGTTGTGCTTGCTCCTTTTCCTGTTGGGCGGTTGTGATTTCTGTCCATTTACTGCTGAGGTGTTCCGGCGTCCGGCAAAAATAGGATAGATTCTATTTTTGCCGGACGCCGGAACAGAGGGCGGCGCACGGCGCCGCACTGCCGGAGCACGGCCGCAGTAGTGGAATTGCTCTGATTGACTACAACGGGACCGATTTTGCTCCGGCGTTCGTGTCGGAGCGGAGGTAGTGGAATTTGGGGGTAAATCACAGCGGTTAATACTGGCTGTTTATTCCCATCATCCTGACTGATGATGGAGATTTTTTGACGTCAACAGGAGAGATCAACTTAAAAAGGATCAAATCAATCCAGAAGTTACTAAAAACCTCCTCTTTGGCTCACTGCTGTGAAACAGAGTAGCTCATATTGCAGCATTACTCTTTAGATCAGCAGCACTGCAGCATTCCCACACCTCCACACTGCTGGAGCATCAACTTGCTTTTCCTGAACTAAAGCTGCTTTTCTTTTGCTTCAATCCAAATTAAAAGAACTTGTAAAAAAAAAAAGAGGGAGTTTTTGTTAAAAAAAAACAACACTCGAGAGATCCTGCAACACCTCGAGCACAACTTATGCAAAACTCCTCCCTGCAGAAGAAAAATGCAGTCGCAATACACGAGTGGACCCTGGGTTCAGACCTGATATGTAACCATATGTTCAGTCACCTGTTGCTCCTTTTGTATTGATTAAACACAACCTCAGATGAATAAGTCATGAAATAGGACCAACTCTTGACATTGCTAAAATCTTATTACTGTCTTGTGTCTACAGCATCAGTACTGTAAAGAATCAGATCAATCGGATCAGAATATTCTGATTGACATGTTTACATGATGAATTTTTGACCTGATTGGGCATTAATTCTGATTACTTGTGCCCATGTAAACGTAGCTAATGTCTTGTCTATTTTGGGTTTGCTGATGCCTGGTTTATACTCAGCTTGAGTGCTGGCGTCGACGAATCATTGGGTTGAATCTCTCCGTCACTGAGATGAGAGAGGGGTATAAACCAGGCTTGAGGCTGATTAGCTGTAGTGGCCATCTTGAAATGAGATGACTACAAAGTGAATCTGTTGTAGATGTAGATGAGCATCCAGTGATGACTTTCTGATATTCAGTGCTAATGGGATACTTTGCACGTGCACACACACACACACACACACACACACACACACACACACACACACACACACACACACAAAGCTGGTTTGTAGTGTGTTATGTTTTAGCTCATTCAACAAGGATCCTTTTTATATCCTGTTCATGAGACCTTAGGTTTGAAAAGAGGGGCGGGGTTGCTGTATATATGAAATCCACCCGATCTCCTTTGTGATCTGACAACATCCAGGCTCATTGATTTCTTTCGGTCTGCTTTGTGCATAATTAATGTGGAGAATGAGTTTTTCCATAGTGTCTGCTGATCTGAGCGAGTTCCCTCACATCTCTCCTGGAGTGACGACCTTTAAATAATTCAGAAGTCTTATCTGTTGAGGTTCGGGTTTTTGCCACATGTACCACCAGTTAAACAAAGTTCAACATACTTGAGGGAACCAGTAGCTGGCGGGTGTGTTGTTTTGGTAGAAGATGTTCTGTCTGACACGCAGTTATTTTCTGGAGACACTTTGTCCTCCTCCCCCCTTTCTCCCCCCTCCTCCTCCTTTGGGACAGATAAAGTTGCTCTTTGTCATCAGCGAACAAGGGACACTTGGAGATTCTTGACATGGTTCAAACACTATTCGTTTATACTTTCAAGTAAAGAAAGCATGAGTCAGCAGCGTATGACACAACCCTCCTCGCTCATCCTTTTAATGCCTCGCCAGAGGAATCTGGCACTAGCAGCCAGCACAGAAGAATAAAGAAAAACAAACTCTGCAGTTTGTTGCCATCTTGAACTCAGAACATCTGCGTCCTGAACCCCCTCCTGCACTGATTCAGTCGTTCACACACAAGCACTTTGTCAGCAGTTTTCATACACACGGGTGTTCAAATCTCCACCTAAAAGCATGCATTCTTCTGCTGCTTCTCTTCTAATTGATCCCAGAGGTGGAAGCATCATGCAAACAAATATCCTGGAGGAAGCACAGCCGGGTGAGGGTGCAGGGACATGATTTGATCTGCTTTTTGGTAGATTAGCCTGATTAGCAGTGAACCCAACCCTCACTGTTTACATGTGGCAGTTTGCAGAAGAAGCTGCAGGTCTTTCATATGTCCTCCTCCTCCTCCCGTGTCTGCCTGCAGGAGATTTATTCGTTCCTAGCTCAGGAGCTGAAGAATCTGGCTTCTGCACACGGAGAGAGATTACTTCACACCCCACATAATCCCATCTCCCTGGGTGAGCTCCTAATGCTGACCAGACACCAGCAAGTCACGCTACTGTCATATTTGTTTGAAAAATTGTTAATCTGTTAATTATGTGTGTTGAGTGTGATACATATCTCTCTCTCCTCTCCAGCCATGTCTCTAGATGGGCTCCAGGCCTCAAGTGATCAGGCGGTGACTCAGCTCGGCTCGATGCTGTTCACCCGCCAAGTGTCAGGCGCCAGGTATGAAAAGGGCGTGGTCAAATACTATGTTAAAAATGGAAAAATAAAGGGTGTGCAAACGTTTGGCACAGAAATGAGGGAGTTAGAGAACTGAGCCTGCTCCTCCTACCATAATTAACACTAAACAAAGTTTATAGCAGAAAATCACCTTGTCATTTCAAGCCTTTCATTGAGTTTTATGGATGGGTACACCTGAACACAGACAGGGAATGAGCTAGCGTTATCCTCACTTTAGCTACATCTCACATGAAAACATCAGCAGAAGTGAGGTGTGAGTTTTGTTGTTGGGTGTGAAACATAAAAAGTGACGCCTGTTAAGGTGATGTGTCACCAAAAGAAGTTAGCTTTTTGCTCCTGCTGGTTGCCGTACACCGGCACTTCCTGTGAAAAAGCAAGAGAAGGTACCTCAACATCAGAACATCCCAAACTGGGCACCAATAAAATATAAAATAGTAGTTTTACATCACAGTTTATGTAATAAATATGAAAAATTGTGTAAAGTTCAAGTTCATTTGTGAAGCAGGAAGTGGTTTCTTTCCTCTCAAATGAAACTTTTTTGTATTTTTATGAATTAATGATACAGATTTTAAACTAATACATTCAATATTCTGTGTATATTTGCCTAAAATTCTCAATATTCTTGGAAAATGTATATTTGTTAATACATCATATATTAATATGCGTTTTAGGAAATAAATTATATCAATCATAAAACTGTAATAAAAAATAAAATTGGGAAAAAATGAGAGATTTAGTGTGATCCTTCTGGTTTGGTGATTTAGTCAATTTGTACTAAAACAAATACTAGTTTAGGAACTGTTTATATGAGGCCATTATTAAAAATAACCAAATATGGTCTAAAGTATTTACAGTAGTCATTTTGTCACTGGTGATAATTCAAAAGCAGAATCGGGAGAAAAACCAAATACCCTTTAAAAGGCAAACGTCTGAACTCAATTATCACTGGGTCAGTGTGTAAAGTTATTTCATATTTATCAGTCATACTGCTTTCCTTTTGTAATGTTTTAATAAACCTAACCATTTGTCTCTGTAGCTTATTGGATCAGATGACCCCTCGCTCATTTTTTAACTGCACTGAAGCTCTGTGTTCTTGACATGTATCTAGAGAGGGACCAGATTATGTTTTCCACATTAATGTCCAGCAAAATTTGATTAATATACATCTGTGTACTCATCACGGTGCATTTCTCCACCTTAATGGCTCCTCATAGGCATTGTGTCAGTAGCTGCAGTAATTGATTTCACATTAAAGGTTAAGTCTTAGCTGTGCTGACAGAGTTCTAGCTCTGCCAGGTTTAATAGGAGTATTTTTACTTTGTCGTTCAGTTTGAACCTTTTAGATAACTGCAGTTCAGCAGGCTGCAGGCCTTTACTGATCATTCAGGTCTAACTAAGGTCATGTGCACACCTAGCTGTATTTTATGTAAATTGCTCTAAACACTCTGTTAGGGATGGGTACCTTTTGATGTTTGAATCGATATGGTACCGATTCCGGTACCTATGAATCAATACCTGTACTTAACGGTATCAAATTTTTTAAAATACTTTTTAGTGTTTAACCCTTTGATGCATGAATTATGAAATCCCCAACCATGATTTTTTTTAACAATTTTTTTCATTCATCTTTAGGTGTGAATGAAACAAATTTCATATTTACATAATTTTTGGAACATTTAATTTACAAATAATTTGCAGTATTACATGTCCACCTCAGTGGATGGCGTGCATTCTGAACATGAAATATGTTGGCTGGACTTACTGAAGTCCAAATGGAGGGGCTCAAATGCAATAAAGTCTTCAACAGCTGTGCTTAATAGCAAAAAAAAAAAAAAACAATTTTGAGTACCTGCCCACTGTAGTGACCATTATGCATCAAAGGGTTAATAATTATTTAAATAGCTTTTAAAATTAAATATATATATATATATATATTCATTTCCCAATATATTTCAATATATAATAATATATTTCCCATCTTTGATAAATAACATACAACTGTTTGTATTTTATCATCGTAGTGTTGCACAAAATTCTTCAATATGAAAACTTTTAACAACTGTTTCTAAATGACGCAAAAACAAACCCACCTCCATATTCCTCTTCTATGTAATAGCTCTGATGAGGAGACCATGTATTATAAACTACAAATGAGACTAAAGCAAACGTCGATACCGTACAACAGTTTGTATTTTAATATTGTGGTGTTTCCAAACTAAACCCAGCTCCATGTACTCCTATTCTTCTCTTTTGCCCTCTGGCCAAACTGTGTGATGGGTCTTTGTAGTTTTATAAACTGCAAATTAAACAGAAGCAAACATCTTTGCTGTGAACTACATTTACTTTGTATCTTCATTCCTTTTGCCGTTCATTTTCAAACTGTTTATTTTTCCTACACGAAGTTGGAATTTCCGAGGAGAAAGCAAACACACCATTATATATGTAAACAACGCTAAACTATCAAGCTAACATTATATTAAACAGTTTATTTTGCTGCTGGAGCAGATTAAGATGCTTCCTACTCTGATCGTTGTTGCTGGTTTTATCATCACCCAACAGCCCATCGCATTTAGTGAAGTAAAGCCAAACTTTAAAGCGTGTTCGCTTTCTTCTAGTCTGAATTTCGGCGTTCCGAGGAGAAAGTGAACGCACCATTAGCTGAACGGAAGCTAACATCAAGCTACTGCTATCTTAAACATTTTATTTACTTACTGGAGCAGATAAAGATGATATCTCACTTAGATCGTTGTTGCTGGTTTCATCATCACCCAGTTACCCATCCAATTTAGTGAAGTGGACCCAAACTTCAGAACGCTTCGTCTCTGCCATGCTGCTTTGTTTACAGCTCGCCCACAGTGACTGACGACATTAAGTTCTTGCACGTGCAAGCAGCACGGGTACCAAAAAAAGGCACAGTTTCATATGACGTGAATCCGTACTCAGTCGGTACTATTTGAATTGAATTGAATTTATTTAGCCAAAACATAATATAATCAATAACACATTACATTTAGAGTGACTGAAAAGGCTCAGGCCGAAGCAACATGCTTATATTTATGCCTGAACTTTTAAACAAATTAATCTACCCCTTTAACACAAATCTGTACAATTTAAGCAAAATAGAAAAGAAGAAGAGAAGTATACACCATTTAGTCAAATAAGTTCACAATACTCTTACATTTACAACACAACTTATAAACTCTTGTAACCGTCAAATTATCTTCAAAACCATCCTTTTAAACAACAAAAATGTACCACAAGTTCGTACATTTACACTGACATATTCCATAATTTAACCCCCACCACAGATATAAATTTCCTTTTAACTTCTTTTTTTGCCAAAGAAACAATAAATTTATTAATATCTCAAAAATCATACTTAGTTTCTACACAAGAAAAAAATGTTTGTATACTTAGTGGAAGTAACTTTAATTTAGCTTTTTACATTATTTGCATTATTTTATAGTAAACTAAATCATTAAATCTCATAACATGTGATTTTAAAAACAATGGATGTGCATGTGATTGTTACGTCCCCGACATGTGATGTTAAAAGTGTGAAGGATGGGGAGAACATAAGAACTGGTGGAGGAGTTTAAAATGGGTTTATTTGTACAAAAAGATATTAAAACACGAGCAAAACTGATTTCTCAAAAAGGTTAACATTACAAAGCAAATTATCAACTATGAAACACCTGGTAAAAACTTATCTTAAAAGCTTTACCACAACGAAAGGTGTTAAAACTGAGGTCAGGAAAATTGCCACAAATAAAGTTAATCTTTTAAAAACGGAACACAAAAAATCCCACTGGATCATCCTCAATTTCTCATTAAGAGTTAAAAACAACCAAAGTTTAAAACACAAACAAATCCAAACGACCAGGGGTTGAAACTACACAAAACCAGGAGGACAGCAGAACCCCTGCACTGCTGCCTCCCAGACTGCTGAAGGCACAGCCTTTTTATACAGGTGATGGCAATCAGTGAAGATTCCTTGCAGCTGTGCTCCTCAGCAGCCCGGGAGAGAGGAGGAGGAGGGGCAGTGTCAGGCTGATTCAACAGAGCTGGGTGATTCTGGCTGCTTCTCTCCACTGGTCAGCCTGGCATCCGTAGCAGTGCCAAATAATCTGCCTTATTAATAATACGTATTGCATATTTTTGTAAGAGAACTATTGCACTAACTAACGGTTGATTAGTCAGTCCCCAGGCTTCCACACAGTATGAAATGTAAGGTAGTATGAGTGAACAATAAATGATATGTAACGCTGCATAATTCAACATATGTCTTGATTTTTACAGTATTGCTATAATCTTAGAAAGTTTTCCTTTAATGTAATAAACATGCTGTCTCCATTTCATTTTATGATCAATAACCATGCCCAAAAATGTCATTTCTGTCACCCTTTCCATTTCAACATTCCATATATTTAAGTTAATTTCCCTGTCAAGTTCCTTTTGATTACCAAATATCATAAATTTTGTCTTTTTTAAATTGAGTGATAGTTTATTAATATCAAACCAAGTCTTAAGGATTCCCAATTATTTTTCTATTAAGGGCAAAAGTTTCTGTAAATTATTACCTGAACAACATAAATTTGTATCATCTGCAAAAATGACAAATTTCAATAAATTAGTGGCCTTACAAATATCATTAATGTAAAGTAAAAAAAAGTTTTGGTCCAAGAACAGATCCCTGGGGAACACCACAAGTAACCTTCCTAAATTTTGAGATTGTATTATTGATTTCTACATATTGCTTCCTATTGTCCAAATAACTCCTTAACCAAAAATAAGCCACTCCTCTTAATTTGAATGCTTTTTGCAAATCAATAAAAACTCATCATTTTCCCTTGCCTCTGTTATTTTTTTTCTACCATTTCCATAATTGCATATGCAGTTGTTCTTTTGGCTCTAAACCCGTATTGGTGCTCACTAAGTAATCCATATTTTTCAATGAAATGATCCAGCTGTTTTGCAAATAATTTCTCTAATATTTTTGAGAAGTGAGGAAGTAGGGATACTGGCCTATAATTATTATTACAATGTTTGTCTCCATTTTTAAAAATTGGTTTTATTTGAGCTATTTTCATGCTGTTTGGAAAAACACCTTTTTGAAAGGATAGATTACAAATAAAAGTCAGAGGTTTTACAATAAAATCAATGACCTCTTTAATTATGAATGTATCAATAAAATTAATATCAGTGGATTTCTTATTTTTAAGTTTTCTAACAGTTTCTATTATATCACCATCGTTGATCCCTCCCAAAAAGAATGAATCTTTATTATCCTTAATAAGGTGATCAAACATATTTAATTTTTTATCACAATTTGGAATTTGTTTGGCCAGACTTTTACCGACATCAGCAAAATAATTGTTTAATTCTTCAGCGACATCTTGTTTATTGTCCACTATATCACCACATTTATTTACAAAATGTCTAGGAAATTCTGTTTTAAGTTTTTATTGATAAGATCATTTATAATATTCTACGTCGCTTGAATATTATTTTTACTTCCTTCTAATGATGTATTATAGTGCTCCTTTTTTGTCTTCTTATGATAGAGGTCAACATATTCTTATGCTGTTTATATGGTTTTTCACTTTCATTAGTTTTTAATAGTAAATATTTCTTATATAGTACATTTTTCTTTCTGCATGCCTTTTGTAAGCTCTTCGTTGTCCATGGTTTTCTGTTACTATTTTTCTTCCCCTGACATTTTCTAATAGGACAATGTTTGTTATAGAGATCTAAAAAATAGACAAAAATGTATAATATGCCAAATTCACGTCCTCCACATACACATTATCCCAAACACAATCTACGAGGTCTACCTTTAAAGCCTCAATTCTTTCTAGGGTCCTTATTCTCATAAGTTTGTAACGGAATTGAAGTGATGTAACTATCTAGAGTTGTATTTTAATACACTGTAAGTAGATCACTTGTAATAATCAGAAGATAGGTTGTTTTTATCATCAGGGAGTTTAATTAAACACTGTATTGACTTTGAGACAAGAAAAGAGAGAGAGTTGGGATCGTTTGAGAATCTTTAATTTCTTAATTATAAATTCTTAAACAATCTACCAGGACTAACTCTGTGATGGATGAAAATGGATTTGGATGTTGTGTGTGTGTGTGTGTGTGTGTGTGTGTGTGTGTGTGTGTGTGTGTGTGTGTGTGTGTGTGTGTGTGTGTGTGTGTGTGTGTGTGTGTGGTTCAGACTCCATAGGCTGACGTCATTGAATCTGGTAGTCTTTGTTATGACTAGATATCACAAGGCTTATAAAGTGATGACATGAGCTGCTATTTTGCCGTGTACGTACCCAGTGGGGGGCCTCCCAGGTAGATCAGGAAATGCCAGGTCCAAGAACCTTGGATGTGTACTGGAGCTGTCGGAGCAGCGATCGCAGCACTTCAAACATCTTAGGTGTGTTCTTGCTGTGTCTTTGTAAATCCATGCTTTCGTTCTTTTTTAAACACAGAAACAGTTTTGTTTACCTGTTTGTAGCTACGGTTTCGCCGACAGCTGCCGGCTTCTTCAGGCTGACGCTGTTTCTGTGTTTAAAAAAGAACGAAAGCATGGGCAGCACTTCAAAGCCCGTCTGAAGGGTCGACCCCGGTACCGATCGGCAGCGTCAGCAGGTGCTCTTATTTTGAAAGGATGTCGTCTGGTTGTTAAACGACGAAAATCTCCAACTTCACAGTTCTTAGTTTAAAGAAGAAAACACATCTGGCCAGGCTGTGCTTTTCTTTGGGATGACGGTGAATAGAACTGAAGTCAAAATGGAACTGACTTTAAAATGGCGTTGCCTTGTTTTATATCTCTGAATTGTTTTAAGTTTCAGTAAACGGGATTGGACACTTTAAGTCAACACCAGATTCTCTTGCGGCAGCCGAAGGCTCTGATTGGTTGGAGCAATGTGTCATGCGTTTCTATGGAGATGAGGATCAGTCTGTCTGTGCAATAGTCCTGCTTTCATTAAACATAAATCATGACATATTTATTTCACAGATCATTCACTTGATTATTATTGATCAACATCTGTTTTGCTTAATTCTTTTAATCACAAATAAAGTATTTTGATTAAGTAAAAGTGTTCTTCTTCTCCTTCGGACTCTTCTCCTGGAATGTAAACAGTCTGAGGAACACCCGACCTTGGCTTTTATACACGGGTGTTACTGTGCACAGGGGGCAGCTGTGTGGAGCTGAAAATGATGAACTTCATAATCTTACCTTACTTATTCTCATAAGTTTATGCGGTGACTCATCCTTTGCCACTGAAGTGTTATCTATTAAACTATGCAAAATTCCAAATATAGGGAGATTATCTGTAATGTCATTTAGGAATATACCATTTGTAGCTGAACCGTACACATCTGTAAAAATATTATCTATTAGTGTAGCGCTGTCCTTCGTAATTCTGGAGGGCTTGTATATTAGTGGCCTTAATCCAAAACTAAACATAGTATTACAAAAGTAAATTGTTGCTTTATGAACATTCCATTTCATCAAATCAATATTAAAATCCCCACACACAAAATAAGACTTTTTATCACATATTTTTTCAAAGATGTTTGTTATAATGTTCAATACTGCTCCATACAGGAGCCAGGTGAAAATATAATTTCCATAGCGCCTCTCAAGATTAAAATCACGAGGCGCTTCACAAAAACAAAAATGTAAAAATATAAAAAAAGCATTTAGAAAATGTTTAAAAATATATTTAAAATGAGCAAAAATAGACAATTGTGATTAAAAATGTTAAGAAAGAGAGAGAGTGAATAGGAAAGAGGGAAATCAGTGGATCCTGAGGAAGGTGGAATAGGTCGGGGGAGCAGAATAAAGAGAGAGTGGTGAAGAAGGTCATACAAAAGCCAGCTTGAACAAGTGAGTTTTCAGCTGCTTTTTAAAGGAGTTCACTGAGTCCACTGATCTCAGGCTCAGGGAGAGAGTTCCAGAGTCTGGGGGCCACAGCAGCAAATGATCTGTCACCTTTGGTCTTTAGCCTGGTGTGCTGCACAACCAGTAGGCTTTGATCACTGGACCTCAGGGACCTGCTGGGGGTGTAGGGACTAAGAAGATCACCGATGTAAGATGGTGCTTGTCCATGTAAGGCCCTATAGACCAGAACCAGGATCTTGAAATGATCCTGAAGTTGACTGGCAGCCAGTGAAGCTGGAGGAGAAGCGGGGTGATGTGGGTGTATTTGAAGGACTTGGTCAGAAGCCGAGCACAGGCATTTTGAACCACCTGTAGACGGTTCAGGGAGGTTCTGCTCAGATACGTGAAAAGAGAGTTACAGTAGTCTAAGCGTGAGGAGATGAAGGTGTGGAGAACAGTCTCAAGTTCAGAGCGGGACAGAATGGGACTCAGCTTAGCAATGTTCCTGAGATGGAAGAAGGAAGAGCGAACAAGATAACTGACATGAGAATCCAGGGTGAGAGCTGGGTCAAAGGTCATGCCAAGATTCCTGACGGAAGGTTTGGTGTGGGAAGAGAGCTGACCAAGAGAGTCTCTGACTTTGGGAACCAGCTTGTCTGGGGCACAGATGAGGATCTCAGTCTTATCTTCATTCAGCTGAAGAAAGCTCCCAGCCATCCAAGTTTTGATAGAGTCTAAGCAGGTGTGTAACAGCTGCAGCTTAGACATCTCATGGGGCTTAAAGGAGATGTACAGTTGGATGTCATCTGCATAAAGATGGTAGGAGATTCCTTTGAAGGAGCTCAGGATGTGCAGGAAGGACTTATTGTTAACAGAGCGAGTATTTAATAGAGCCATGCTGAGTGAGGTGGAGGAATCAGAAACTACAGAAACAGCCAGAGTTAGTGGACGTAACTTAGCAGGGTTAGATCCATGGTGTTTATAAAAACCACTTATGGAGGGAACAGGAGGAGAAACCACTGAGGAATGAGGATAAACCAACCTTAAAAAACTTGGACGGATGAACCACGCTGCAACGCGGCCTGGCGGGAATGCGGAAGTGGCGCTCACGTCACCAAACTAAGGACAAGAAGCTTGAAGATCACGCCGATGTTTACTAGATAAACCACGCTTTAAGAGAAGTCTCATTCTCACTTGGATTCTTGCTCGTTTACCTCTTTTCCTCCGACGTTTTCCCGGGACCCGACAAACATCGCTAGAGGTGCGCAGCTCGGGACCGTCGTTTGGTTCCGGGCCAGTGCGCCACTCAGGTAAACAAACAGGATGGTACCTCCTCGGTGCGTCTTGGGCGATCGTGAACGAACGGAAGGACAAAAGAGTCTGGCAATCATAGGAGATTGTAGCAGGGACACAATTGAAGAGGATCGCAGACAGGAGCAAGGTGGAAAAGAGGAGGTTAGTGGAGAAAAGTTTGAAAAAGTGGCCGGTGACTGCGGCTAAGCCAAGCACAGGCGCCATCTTGTTGCCGACCGGAAGCGATTGCGAGGTGTTCTATATATACAACTCAAAACTATACTCTTACACTTTTTTGTCTAGATTTTAATCGTTAAACTTTCCATAATTTCATCAACAGCTGTGGTGTCTATAATCTTACATTGAAAACTTTTCTGTACATATATTGCTACTCCACTTCCCATTTTTTTTTGTCCTATTAACCCAAAAAAATTCAAATCCTTCTAATACAAAATTGCATCTTTTTCCTTTGTAATCCGTGTTTCACTTAAAGCAATAACATGAAACTTATGTTTTAATGACTAAAATTTAGAGTCTAAATAATCTATGGAATTTAGTCAGTGTCTTAAAAAGTACAGACCCATCCCTAGTGACCGATTATAAAAGAAATAACAATAAAAATGTTTTTTCAGTGTTTTTTAAACCTATTAGGAAATATCTTCTCCACGTTCCTTGAAAGTCAACTATTTAGTGAACTTAATCATCCACAATCATCTTTGTATTGTTTTTTCCACCCTTGTCTCCAGGGTGATACCACTGGGTAAGGAGCAGGTCGTAAACGGACGCACGTTTTGTGGGTTCATGTCCCACTCCAACTCGTACCCCTGCCCTTACCTCAACGCTGCTTCTGCTATCGGCATCACTCGGGAAGATGTGACTTTGTGCATGAAAAAACTGGACAAATGCTTGAAGATGCTGAAGAAAGATGCAGTGAAGAGTAGTTCTACTGTGTTGGAGGTGAACCAGGAGGTTCCTGGTGAAGAATAAATCAGTTGAAACATTAAGTCTGACACCATGCTGCCTACCTTTTACTTGATTTGTACTTTTAAAATGGTACTTTTGTTAATATATTTTCAATTTGGATGTTCTAATGAGTGACAGCAGGCATGGATTTGTGTTTGGGTTTAATTAGAAGTTAGAATGACTCTGATTTATACCAAAGAATAAATCATTGATGGATTATTCTGTATGAATCAAAGCTTTAAATCATCCTTTGAGTGGAGCCTTTGAATGAAATACTGTTTTTTAAAATGCACTATCCAGTGGAATAAATAGATTGTAACATGATCTGTTCCCTTTCTCCTGCAGCGAGTTGTAATGCGATGCAAGCGCTGCTGAGCCATCATCTTCATCTGAAACCCTGTGTAGTGGATTAGCTCATTTATTTTCAGGCTCCAGATAATCGAAGACGTGCGCCAAATATAGCCCATTCCTGTGTTTGTGGTTTTTGTCTTGAGTTTTAATGAATAAAGAACAAAAACAAGTTTAGTTTCATTTGAACATAGCTAGGTTATTTTTATGATCACAACTGATGTGGGCTTTAGTGAAACAGGTCTGTCGCAGTGCTTCTGTTCTTTATCTAATTAGTTAGTAAAAACGTCAGTACGTGCCTCCAGGCTTTAACTCTCACCAGTGACTGGTTTGCATTCTGGATTTTGATACACCATTCAAATTCCTCCCGTGCCCTACGCCTCATCCACTGACAAAGAAATCAAAGATCTTTCTTAGAGTTTAGGTTGAATCCAAGCAGCCATCTGTTTCTTGAATCTGCCTAGTCCACAGATGTTACCTCGCCTGCAGCGATTAAAGGAGCAGGTTGGATTAACGTGTGGCAGGACCAGTACCTCTGATAAGTGGGCTGGACTTATGCTCTTGGATCAGCATATTTTCACTTTCTTTTCTTTTTTCTTTTTTTTTCAGTTTTTCTTTTTTTACTTATGCTGAAACATTAATAAACCATAGTAGGGAAAACACTGAGCTGGGGTGGCACAAGTGCAACCCAGAAAAATAAATGTATTGTTTTAAGGCAATAACTGTACCTCATCTTATGGTCTGTTACTTTCCTTGTCACCAATTAGTTGCGTCATTAAACAAGATGTTTTAAAATGGACCATCTTTTCATCTCAACAATCAGCATATTTCACTGTCCTATCTTAGGTTTCTTCTGCCGTCACACTCCCACACCAACATCAACACCCTCTAAATGGATTCCTCCTGAAGCTGCACTCGATCAGAACTCTTAAGCACCTCGAGGATGTTGCTACATGACAAATGGTCCTTCAGTCATGGCTTGTAAAAACTCTCAGGTCCACTTCAGTGATGATGGAGTGCCAGAGGGGCTGAGATTGGGTTAGTTATGCAACAGGGACACGTGGATTAATATTCAGACCTTTGTTGTATGTAGTTATTTTTAATCCTTAGAAAGTTTTAAAACAGAAAATGCCTTGATATAATTGTGCACATCACATTTCATGCCACAGTTGGATCCTTTCAGTCAACCCAAATAACATTTTCTGTGTTAAAACTTATACCTGAAATTATGCACGACCAAATGCAGTTTCAGCTCAATATCTATAAAACCATTTCCATCACTCCCGTGGCACGCTGCTCCTCTTCCAGCTTCACTGGCTGCCAGTAAATTATGGAGTCCGTTTCAATATACTGACTCATTTTTATAGGATATAATATTGCACATTTGTATAGTGCTTTTCTAAGTCAGGGACCCAAACACTTCACACAAGTGCTGGTCATAAAATTCGAATATCATGAAAAAGTTGATTATTTCAGTTATTCCATTCAAAAAGTGAAACTTGTATATTATTCAACTTGTATATACAAAACTTGGGGCAACGGTGGCACAGGAGTCAAGTGCTGACCCTGTAATCGGAAGGTTGCAGGTTCTAACCCCGCTCAGTCTGTCGCTGTCAATGTGTCCTTGGGCAAGGCACTTAACTTGCCTGCTGGTGATGGTCAGAGGAACCAGTGTCACCTGTGTAGGGCGGAGTCGCCTCTGACACTGCTCCCCAGAGCAGCTGTGGCTACTAGGTAGTTCATCACCATCAGGGTGTGAATGGGTTAATGACTGATTGTGTTGTAAAGTGCCTTGGGGGGCCCAGGACTCTAGAAGACACTATCAAATACAGGCCATTAACCATTCATACACAGACTGATATATTTCTGTTTGTCATTAATGTTGATGATTATAACTGACCACTAATGAAAATCCCAAATTTAGTATCTCAGAAAATTAGAATATCAATTAAGACAATGCAAAAGAGAATTTTAGAAATGTTGGCCAACTGAAAAATATGAACATGAAAAGTTTGAGCATGTACAGAACTCCATATTTAGTTGAGGCTCCTTTGGCCTGGTTGACTGCAGTGTGGCATGGAGTGGATCAGTCTGTGGCACTGCTCAGGTGTTATGAGAGTCCATTTTGCTCTAATAGTTGCCTTCTGCTCTTCTGAATTTTTGGCTCTGGCATATAGCATCTTCCTCTTTACAATACCACATAGATTTTCAATGGGGTTAAGATCAGGTGTGTTTGCTGGCCAATCATGACCAGGGATGCCATGGTCCTTAAACCAGGTATTGGTAGCTTTGGTACTGTGTGAAGGTGTTCTGTTGGAAAATGGAATCTGTCTCTCCATTAAGTTGGTCAGTAGTAGGAAACGTGAAGTTCTCTTAATACTTCCTAGTAGACGGCATTGAATGGAAATACTGAAATAAATAAACTTTTTAATGATATTCTCATTTTCTGACCAGCACCTGCACACACTGATGATGATAAGCTACATTGTAGCCACAGCTGTCTTGGGGCATACTAATAGGCTGCCGCTAAATCTGTGCCACGAGACCCTCCAACCACCAAAAGCAGGAAAGGAGGGTGAAGACTGACGTGTGAAGGCGGTGAAATGCATGTCTCATGCTCATTGAGCGAGAGTTGGCAGCCCTGCTGCTTGCTTACTAACGGTCTGAGTTGTTTGCCATTTTTGTGTTTGGCAAGGCCACTTTACTGTGGTGTCCATCTTGAATTAGGTTAACTCCAAAGTTTTAGGCAAAGGTTTTGAAAAATATGTTCTGCACTGACTTTGTTTGGGGGTGATTTGGTTGCAAGTAGCTTAAGAATTCCATTCATGGAAAATTACCTGTGTTTTGCATAGCGCCTTCTTAGGGTTCTACAACCCCTCAAGGTGCTTCACATCACAATCAGTCATCCACACACATTCACATACTGGTGATGATGAGCTACGATATAGCTACAGCTGCCCTGGGGCACACTGACAGAAACGAGGCCTGCAGAGCACTGGCGCCACCGGTCACTCCGACCGCAGGTAAGGTGGGTTAAGTGTCTCGCCCAAGGACACAACAGCAGAATTATCTCTTCGGAGCTGGGATTAGAACCTGCAACCTTCCGATTACTGGACAACCAGCTCTACCTCCTGAGCTTCTGCTGTCACTGATTTATTGGTTTTGTTGCAATGCGACGGTCCAAATCTTTCAAGACACAGACCAAAACCATAAAGTTGCCACAAAAACATTTTTGTAAACATATGGTCATTTTATTTCTCTTAGATATTTTGAGTAAACATTACATTTACAAGAACAAAGTATTTGTGTAGAAGATAGCCTGCAAATGTAAACTACAACAAATAACATTTTTGCCTTCGGAAAATAAGAAAGCAATTATTTAGTGAGGTAGAAGTCCACTATTCGTGACAATAGGAAGTGGGTCACTCTCGGTCAGTGTCAGATCGGCCATTGGGAGCACCGGGACATTTCCTGGTGGCCTCCTTATTTAATCAACTTTAGCAACCATCTTAAATCGGATAGTTGCAGATCAACAGTCAGTGATTACTTACCTAGAATTTCTTGAAAACCTTTATAGGAAAAAACATTATAACCCACCTTTAAGGTGAGAAGTTCCAGCAAATGGAACTTATTGAGTCAGCGGCTAAGAGCTGCTGCAGTTATGCACCTCAGAGCTTCGGGGAGGGAAATTGAGCGTCAAATCCACAGATTTCCATCAAAGGCTTTGTGTTCAAATCAGGACATCCGTGTGCTTTCAGTGTTTCCCCTAGGAATTTTTCCAGCTGTGGCGGTGGGGCCGGCAGAGGGTGGGGGAATCACAAGCGACAACATAGTAGTTCCCGCTGCTTCTTCAGAGAAAAATAGAACAGGTCAGATGCACCTAATAAATAAAATTACTAACAAACTCAGGAATCTTTCTTTGCTTCACTATTCTGGTGCTGAGAATATCACTAATGCGGATCAAAGGAGATACACAGATGAATGCACCTCTTATTTATTATTTGGAGACTACATTTACTGCAGCTGGCAGAGGCAGAGATTGTTTCTATTGATACACGGAATTTACAGAATCATTTTAAATTTTAATAAGGGAAGACTGCAGGAGGGAGCGGTAAAACACAGGGGGTCCCCAGCAAAAACAAGAAACTATGAGTCTGATGAAACCCGCTGGTTTTCCCTCAGGCAGTCACGGGGCAGCTCCAACGACCCAGTGGCTGTGCTGGGTCAATGTTATCGAGCTCAGTCCGTCTCGGCCGTGAACGAGCCGAGGCGACGTCGTGCTCTGCTTAAGGAGGTGTTATTTTCCCGCTTCAGAAGAAGCGTCCAACGTGTTTTTATGCTTTCTCCGAGACATGTCACGTCGCTAAGTTGTTAGCGCCGCGCACTAACACGTCAATAGTGCAGCGTAGGCTGCTGGAGGTTTTAAGGGTTCAGATGAAACACCCGACCTCTCAGGCTGCTCACACATCGATCTTAAGTTGTCGCTGTTGCGCTCACGCTGTAATACAGTATTAGATGCGGTTAAAGTCAGACATGAAAAAATAAATAAATTTTACATGAATAAGTGATGCTTAGCCTGGTGGGGGGAGGAAAACCTGGCCTAATAACCACTGGAGGAAACCTGTCAAGATCGTCAACACTCGTTTATCTTAATGCTATTGAAACATGTAAACCAAAAAGCATTATATCCACTGCTACCTTTCTAATTTTAAACTCAGTAACTTATGTTGTAACTGCACCTTGCCCTTCCTGCTCCTCCTTGCTGCCCGCCGGCTGTGATCACAAGCAACAACATAGTAGTTCCAGCTGCTTCTTCGGGAAACAGCACAAAAAAAAAATTGGGATCTTGTAGGCGTGGCGGTGGGATTTCAGCCGTGGCGAGCCTCCACGGCTACGCCTATGTAAGGGAAACCCTGGCTTTATCTGACTAAATCCGTTAAAAACCATGTTGCAAAATAGAATATCTCAAGTTTTAACAAAGAAAATGTCATTTTAACTTCCTTTGACTTTTCATTTTGAATTCTGGAAATACAACAATGACTGTCTATTTTTATGTGGAATATTCTAAAAGAAAAAAAAAACCACACTTCTCATTTATATGTAATAATATGTGCCAGACTGCACCTTTAATAAAGCCCCTTTGTTGCTGTGTGAGGCTTGGATGTTTAACCAACAGTTTTCCGCCTGGAGACCCTTTTTTCTCCTCTCCTCCCTAAATAAATAATGAAAGCGTCGGAGCTGCAGCTGATTTGCTGATGTCAGGGAGTCAGTGCAGCATTTCATGGTGCAGGGTGGAAATGCGCTGTCTGTGCCTCCATCCCTGCTCCCTCCCTCCCCCTCTCTCTGTTTCCCCCTCTCTACCTTAAAAACAAAAAAAACTAGTCACACATGCAAGCCCGATAGGAAACATGCCTCCAGCTCTCAAGACTTGGGCTTTGCTGTGTGTGTCGCTGTGCCTCCTGTGTCAAGTGGCTCATCCGAAGAAGCCTTTCCGATGCCCTTCAACATGCAGCTGCTCCAAGGAGTCCATCATCTGCGTCGGGAATGCCTACATCCCCAGGATCGCCCCGATTGAGATCAGCTCTTTGTGAGTAAAACCCCATTCACCTCATCTCTCTAGTCTTAAAATAAAAACACTGTCTAAACAAAACCTCCTGAATAAAATTCTTATTGTGTGCACAGCCTGTCAGTAACCGCTGATTCCCCATGCAGTTTGAATAGTGAATGTTGATCACAGCTTCTGCTGGTTTTCTTCCCCTCTAAAGGAGCATCGTCAATGGGACTTTCACTGAGATTAAGGAGGCGATGTTTGCCCACATGCCCACCCTCCAGCTGCTGTAAGGACACACCCTTTATTACTTCTAACAGCGTTTGAGCCGTTCATACACATCATACATAAATAATGCCAGGCTTTTATGCCACTGCAGCACTTGCATGTTCAGCAACTAACTTTTAGCTGTGCGTAACTTTAATACAGCTACGGTAATGCGTCTCGCATCTTAAAAGTCACCCAGGAAAGGAAGGCTTAAAGGGTTGGACAACTGGAATTGAATGAGGGAAGTTTGGGTGTTTGTTTTTGTGTGGCTCCATCATTAACTGGACTTGCTACATTAATCTGCATTAGATAGGTATAAAGCACTTAACCAACGGTTATCATTGGGCACTTTATTAGGTTCACTTTGCTAGTAACAGGTTGCAGGTTGTAACATTTGCCTTCAGAACTGTCTTCATTTTTATATGATAGATCCAGCATGGTGTTGGAAACATTCATCAGAGGATCTGGTCCATATTGACATGATGTCATACAATCCAGAACACTCTCAAATTTATGTCCCTGATCCCAATCTCCAAATTCAAGCAGATCATCCAAAATGCATTAGATGACTGTTGTTCCTGCTGACAATCCTGAAAATACACATATAAGCTCTTTTACTTGTGCTTCTTTTAATGTAAATGTTTGTGCTATGTTTTATATTGTTTGCATTATCTGTTTTACTTATTTCTGCAGCCTGCTGGCCAGGTCATGTTTGTAAATAAGAAGTGGTTCTCATAAAAAACATCACACAGTTGCATCCACAATGTGAATCTCCTGTTCCACCACATCCCAGAGGGTCCAGACTGAGATCTGGTGACTGTGGAGGCCGTTGTGGTCCATTGAGCTCATCGTTCTGTTCTAGAAACCAGTTAGAGATGATCAGAGCCATGGTGCTTTATCCAGCTGGAAGTGGCCATCAGAAGATGGGTCCATGTGGTCATAAAGGGACTGTCATGGTCAGGATAGATCCATGCTTTCATGTTGGTGACACAAAATTCTGACCTGACCTTCAGATGCAATCCAGACTCATCAGACTGGGAAAGTTTTTTCCAGTCTGTTATGATCCAGTTCTGGTGGTCCTGTGTGAATTGTAGCATTGGTTTCCTGTTCTTAGCTGACTGCAGTGACACCTGGTGTGGTCTTCTGCTGCTGGAGTCCATCCATCCCCATCCCAGAAGATCAGCAGTTTCTGAAATACACAGATCCATCTACCAACAACCATTCCACATTTAAAGGCTCTAAATGTCTTTTTCTTCTTCACGCTGATGCTCAATGTGATCTCGTCTTCACCATGTCTGGATATGAAAATACCATGTGATTGGCCATTTAGACTTGTGTACCTAATCAAGTGGCCAGTATATGTATTTCGATTATCATCAACATTATTAGTCTCAGTATTTGCAACTTACGTAAGCTTGTATTTGATTACTTGTTTGGAAACATGGATTTTTACAGGAATTTTAAAGGTTCATCCAATTAGTTTACTAGTCCTTAGTATTTCTTTGTAATATTTTACAAAACATAACTTAATATTGAACTTTGTTGCGTACATGAGGACTTTGAAGGTTTGGCTTCATTTTCTGTAATGTGTAGCATTATAGTTGCAGAAATCTGAGACTTTGCACCCGTAAATGTTTGTGTTGGTATCATTTAATTATGCTTACCATATTTTCCGGACTATAAGCCGCTCCGGAATATTGACCCTTCGCACCGACGTCACATAATGACGTGGGTCCACCATGTTGGACGGCAAAAGCATGTAAACAGTGAGCGACACGATTACTAAACAAAGGGAAAAGTAGAGCCTGAAATTGATTTTGTGACCAAAACAAAAATCCAGCATTCCTTCAACTAGTTCATGCCCAGTTCAGTTATCAGAAGAAGTAGCGCATCTAGCGGGGCCTCATAGAGAGCGGTATGTTAACTAGCTTACCAACGTTAGCTTACGTTCTCTCTGCAACTGTTCACCGATGAAAACATGTTGCTGACTTTGCCTAAATTCACCCCTTTGGATTTATAACTTTATGTTGTCAACAGCGTTTCACTTTACATCATAGCTGATTTTTAAAAAGTCCGGATCCCTACCAGTTTCTGTTGCTGGTGGTGTTACCGAGTTCAGCTGTTGCTCTCACACCGGAATGAGAAGATCTCTGAACGCTGACGCTCATATAAATAAATAACGTAATTTTAACAGACGTAATCATATATCGGAGCTTTAACATTGTTAATGTCTCGCTTTACACTACAGTGGACGTAGCGCATCCTCCGTGGTGAAATAACCATCCATCAGGATTATCAATAACTTGTATAAACACATCACATTTATCCCTGTCCCTGTCTTCCTCGTGAAATAAGGGTAAAAACATGTTCGCTGCAAATCTGACGCCTGCTAGTCTGCTTGATTGATTGATCGCTGCAGTTCATCTCCGTCCTCAGTCTCCATCAAAGTTATTAAAAAAGAAAAGACGAGTTGAGTTTACGTCCTTGTCTCTTAGTGTAGCCAACCACACAGCAAGCTAAAACCATTTTACTGTCAAATCAAATACCGGTAAATAAAAGTGATAAAAGGCTACAAACTGGCTTGTTTTAACTACCTTCACTGGAGTTTCTATGGGTGTAAACGGTCTTTTTGCCATCCATCATGGCGAAGGGGGCGGTCACATGAGTGGCGTGACATCACGTGCAAAGGGTCAATAAGTCGCACCAGCCATAAAATGTATAATGAAGAAGAAAAAAACATATAAGTCGCACTGGACTATAAGTCGCATTTTGGGGGGAAATTTTATTATTTATCCTACAAAATGTGAGACCAAGCATTTCACATTGCAAGGCAATAACAGAATAAACAACGTGGGTGCAGCAGCGCACCACGGTCTCCAGCAGAGGATGGCGGTGTTTGTAACCCTCCCAGCGGTACAGGGGAGCTCATTCCTGGGTCGGAGCCGGCCCGCAGCAGCGCGTCACCGGCTGCAGCAGGTGATGGCGGGTCAGAGGAGCTGAAACCTGGGCCGGATCCAGTGCTCAACGGCGTGCAACAGGCTCTGGCAGGTGATGGCTGTATGTTTTTAATTCCCTGCGGGGCAGGTGAGCTGAAACCTGGGTCGGATCCAGCCCGCAGCTGCACGCAACAGGCTCCGGCAGGTGATGGCTGTGTGTTTTTAGTTCCCTGCGGGTAAGGGGAGCTCACTCCTGGGCCGGATTAGGTGCATAACGGTGCGCCACAGGCTCCAGCAGGTGATGGCTGTGTGTTTTTTATTCACAGCGGGGCAGGGGAGTTCATTCCTGGTCTGGAGCCGGCCTGCAGCAGCGCGGTATAGCCTACATAATTTGGTATATAAGTCGCTTTGGAGAATAAATCGCAGGATCGGCCAGACTGTGAAAAAATGTGCGACTTACAGTGGGGCAAAAAAGTATTTTGTCAGCTACCGATTGTGCAAGTTCTCCCACTTAAAATGATGACAGAGGTCAGTAATTTTCATCATAGGTACACTTCAACTGTGAGAGACAGAATGTGAAAAAAAATCCATGAATTCACATGGCAGGATTTTTAAAGAATTTATTTGTAAATCAGGGTGGAAAATAAGTATTTGGTCAATAACAAAAATTCAACTCAATACTTTGTAACAACCTTTGTTGGCAATAACAGAGGTCAAACGATTACTATAGGTCTTTACCAGGTTTGCACACACAGTAGCTGGTATTTTGGCCCATTCCTCCATGCAGATCTTCTCGAGAGCAGTGATGTTTTGGGGCTGTCGCCGAGCAACACGGACTTTCAACTCCCTCCACAGATTTTCTATGGGGTTGAGGTCTGGAGACTGGCTAGGTCACTCCAGGACTTTCAAATGCTTCTTACGGAGCCACTCCTTTGTTGCCCGGGCGGTGTGTTTGGGATCATTGTCGTGTTGGAAGACCCAGCCACGTTTCATCTTCTAAGCTCTCACTAATGGAAGGAGGTTTAGGCTCAGAATCTCACGATACATGGCCCCATTCATTCTGTCCTTAACACGGATCAGTCGTCCTGTCCCCTTAGCAGAAAAATAGCCCCAAAGCAAGATGTTCCCACCCCCATGCTTCACAGTAGGTATGGTGTTCTTGGGATGCAACTCAGTATTCTTCTTCCTCCAAACACGACAAGTTGAGTTTATACCAAAAAGTTCTACTTTGGTTTCATCTGACCACATGACATTCTCCCAATCCTCTGCTGTATCATCCATGTGCTCTCTGGCAAACTTCAGACGGGCCTGGACATGCACTGGCTTCAGCAGCGGAACACGTCTGGCACTGCAGGATTTGATTCCCTGCCGTTGTAGTGTGTTACTGATGGTGACCTTTGTTACTGTGGTCCCAGCTCTCTGCAGGTCATTCACCAGGTCCCCCCGTGTGGTTCTGGGATTCTTGATCACCGTTCTCATGATCATTTTGACCCCACGGGATGAGATCTTGCGTGGAGCCCCAGATCGAGGGAGATTATCAGTGGCCTTGTATGTCTTCCATTTTCTGATAATTGCTCCCACAGTTGATTTTTTCACACCAAGCTGCTTGCCTATTGTAGATTCACTCTTCCCAGTCTGGTGCAGGTCTACAATTATTTTCCCGGTGTCCTTCGAAAGCTCTTTGGTCTTGGCCATAGTGGAGTTTGGAGTCTGACTGTTTGTGGCTGTGGACAGGTGTCTTTTATACAGATAATGAGTTCAAACAGGTGCCATTAATACAGGTAACGAGTGGAGGACAAAAGGTCTGTGAGAGCCAGAGATTTTCCTTGTTTGAAGTGACCAAATACTTATTTTCCACCCTGATTTACAAATAAATTCTTTAAAAATCCTGCCATGTGAATTCATGGATTTTTTTTCACATTCTGTCTCTCACAGTTGAAATGTACCTATGATGTAAATTACTGACCTCTGTCATCATTTTAAGTGGGAGAACTTGCACAATCCGTGGCTGACTAAATACTTTTTTGCCCCACTGTATAGTCCGGAAAATACAGTATGCTTTATTATGCTTTGTCTGTTTCATTGCAGGCTTCTGAATTCAAATTCCTTAACCACTATAAGAGATGATGCATTCTCAGGCCTTCCACACCTGGAATACCTGTAAGTTGCCAACAGCTGGCCATGTAGTGGTTAAAAAAACACAGATTTATCTCAACATATGTGCACAATTAAAGAAGGGGTTGACATTTGTAAAGAAAGTTTGGTGTCAACCAAATACTGAGCTGTGGAAAAGCGTTCACTTCCTTACAGCTTTTTGTCACTTGAATCTATCAGATGAGTAAACATATATCAAGATCAAAAATAACCTGGGTAAATACAATATGCAGTTCTCAGATGATGATTTTATGTATCAAGGAAAAAATGCTTTCCTAGTGTTGGAGAACTCATGGTTCCATCCCTTCGTAGTCCAATGACAGTCCAGGTCCTGAAGCAGCAAAGCAGCCCCAGACCATCACACTACCACCACCATGTCTGACTGCTATGATATTTTAATGCTAGTTTTTCTCTACATGGAATGGGACGCACACCTTCCAGAAAGTGCCGCTTTTCTCATGTCAGTCCAAAGAGTATTGTCCAAACATCTTTAGAATCATCAACATGTTTTTCATGAATGTGAACCTTTGTGTTATAATAATTAAAAATCCCAGCTGATCACAGTTTTATTTTTGATTCCACAGATTCATTGAGAGTAATAAACTAGAGACTACATCGAAATATGCCTTCAGAGGACTCAGGGACTTGACTCACTTGTGAGTTTCAGAATTAAAAAATATTTACATAATATGAATGGATTGCATGAATCATGTTCTCAGGTTGTGTTTTCTTGTGGTTTCTTTAGGTCTTTGGCAAACAACAACATGAAATTCCTACCTAGGGATGTCTTTGTTGACTTGGACTCGTTAATAGAGCTGTACGTTTGTAGCAGGGTTAAAATTGTTGGTAAAATATTGAATAATTAGTTGCATTACTTGTCCTCTGCAGGGATTTACGAGGCAATGCCTTTGAGTGTGACTGCAGGGCCAAATGGCTCATGTTGTGGCTGAAGAGCACCAATGCCACGGTGTCAGATGTTGTGTGTGCTGGACCAGAGGACATGAAGGACAAACACCTAAATGACATAAATAGCCTTCAGGATGAGTGCATGTCAACGGGTGAGAATAATGCAACTCATTCTAGAAAGGTTGTTCTGTTGATCTGACTTTGCTAAAGGGGATCCTGGCAACAGTCTTAATTTCCAATCCCATAGGCCCAATTACCATGTCTGACCATTTACACCAGCAGTTTTTATATTGCTGACATTGTTTGATTCACTTTTACAATCTAATGCAAACTCTTGCATGAAAGGTGTTGGGTTGTATATATCTTGAAATGTTTTCTCAGATTTCAAACCTCTCACTAACTTTTGTCCACAGATTTTGTCCTTCACCAGTCTGTGGCGTCGGAGTCATTGTCTATTGACACATTCAGTTTCAAGAACGATGTTTATGTGACCATTGCGGCTCCCAGCACTGACAGCTGTATGGTGTTCCAGTGGGACCACATTGAAATGAACTTCAGGACCTATGATAACATCACAGGTAGGGCTGTCCCTTGAAACAACCTCTCACAAATGTTCTGAAATACTTTTCCTCTCGTGTAATTGGTTTATTTTTCTGCTATTAGCTCAGTCCATTGTGGGTTGCAAGTCGGTTGTCATCCAGGAGGAGGTGTTTGTCATTGTCGCTCAGCTCTTCGGTGGTTCCCACATTTACAAGTTTGACGACGACCAAAGCAGGTTCAACAAGTTCCAGGACACCGAGGTGTCCAAGATCTCCAAGCCCAATGACATTGAGGCTTTTCAGATTGGTTCGGACTGGTTCTTTGTGATTGCTGACAGCTCAAAAGCTGGCCTGTCCACCCTCTACAAGTGGAACGATAATGGCTTTTATTCTTACCAGTCCTTACATGAGTGGTACCGCGACACTGATGCAGAGTTCCTAAACTTGGATGGGAAGGCTCACCTCATTATGGCTAGCCGCTCACAGGTTCCTGTGATTTACCAGTGGAGCCGGACCAACCAGAAGTTCATCCTGCAGGGAGATATCCCCAACATGGAGGATGTGGTAGCTGTAAAACACTTTCGCATCAAAGATGAGCTCTACCTCGCCATGACCCGATATATTGGTGACTCAAAAGTACTAAAGTGGGGTCCGAAACAGTTTGCGGAGATTCAGGCTTTGCCATCACGAGGCTCCATGATTCTCCAACCATTCTCTTTTAAAGAACGCTACTACCTGGCTCTGGGAAGTGACTACACCTTCTCACAAATCTATCTATGGAACGATGACGACAAAGTCTTTGAACGCTTCAAGGAGGTGTACATTCAGGCACCGCGCTCCTTCACCGTGGTTTCCACTGACCGCAGGGACTTCATCTTTTGCTCCAGCTTCAAGGGAAACACACAGATCTTTGAACACATTATTATTGACCTGAGCTTGTGAGGGACTCTGCCTTATTGTCCCTCCTGCAATCAAATGTCTTCCATTCAAAAGATATATCTTTATGACAGGTAAAAAATAACAGAGAGAGATCTTACTGAGCTGATAAACATCCAATCATACTAGTTAGGACCCACACTAGAGCTTGGTCAAGTTGAAATTTTCTCATCTGTCTTTGTTCTACTAATGGTTCTCATGAGTTCTTCTAGTCATTCAGTGATTGTACAAAAAGTCCCCTGAGATTTCTGAGGATTTGGATCCGAAGTCCTTCTGGTTTTCCTTATTGGAGTTTTTAATGTAATACTCAAATAAAGCTAAAATTTCCTTTAGTCTTATAATTTGGACAAACCTTTTTTCCTCCAACTCCATGTTCCATATCTGTAATGAACGGTTGGTCTTTAGAGCTCTGATGGGCTTACAGTGCCTCCTGCTGGCAGTATTAAACCTTACACCCCCTATTTTCTTTACAGTGAACGTCTGGAAAGCACAACCCTTTAATAATTATTATAGCTGAGATCTTAGAATGTAGTACACTAGTGGGACGTGTTACCGTAGGTGCTATAGGCTGTGATGTATACATTAGATTTGTGTAAAAAAAATTATGTATTTGTTGTTTAGAAGAGTCAAATATTGAGGACAGGATGCAGAAATCCCCATTTTGATACAACTTTTGAATCAGACGCAACAAAGTCTCTGATCAGGTAGATCAAAAAGATATCACACTCTTAAAAATAACAATTTTTGTTGGTAATATAATGTTAAATGAATAGGCTCTTCACATATATTAGAGGCCTCTAAAACTAAGAAAATGTAAATATGTAAATTATCTAATGTTTAAGAGGCTTTCTCAGTCCCTCGTTTGAAACTACTGAATGTTGACTTCCTTTGTAATGTTCATTAATCCAGGACTGCAATGCCACTTCCTGATTCTGAACAGTTCTTTGCACTTATGTACAACAAAAGTCAGTTGTTACTGCAGCTTGCAAGAGCATGACATTCAAAATAAGATGAATGTCTTCTAATTTTTTAGATGATTCAAAGAAAATCATTAAATGATTTTGTTAATGAGGTGAATGGCATTGCAGATAACCTGGCCTGTATTTGATAAAAAGCAAACATGCAAGATTCTTTTGTAACGTTTAGATCGAAGCTTATTGAATGTTACTCTAAAATTTTAAGTTAATCCGGTTGAGAACCAGAAATAAACGTGTGAAGATGTGATTGTAAAGGTGTCTTATTTTTATAAAGATTTATTATCTAAAACTAATGTTATTTAATATTATAATACACTATAATAATGTGATCTTTTTAAAGCGGCCATGTAACATTGTGGACACAGTTTGGTACTGTGAAGTATGCTAAAAGACCTCAAAAAGCAACTTGTGTTCTGTAAAAAAAAAAGAGAGAGAAATTCACAAGACTTCCAAGTCCCTAAATCTCTGCCGAGGGAAAAAAACCCAACAAAGACGTTGTTCAGAAAACGTTTTAATTAACCCCAAACCTTTTGGAAAAACTGAGCTTTCAGGAAGGGTTCATGAGCTGTCACATCTTGAGTAAATCATCACACCAACTGTCAAACATGGAGGTGGTGGTGTGATGGTCTGGGGCTGCTTCAGGATCTGGATACTCTGCAGTCAGGCTTTTCCCTAAAATAAGGACACCACTTGAAAAGTTTATAAAGTATTTACTTTGATTTATCTCTTATTTAGAAATCTGTGTACTAATCTGAAATAATTTGACAAAAAAAAAGCAGAAATCTTTAGGGGACAAAAACTTTTTCACAGAACTGTATTATAAATATTTAAATACACATATTCTGAGCATTCATGTTGTTTTTCTAATTCCGGTGAGGAAGCAGTTTTCCTTCATAATGGAGGGTAGTGTTTTTGGTGAGGTGATCATTAGCAGTTCACACTTTACACGTGGAACAGAGATAATAAAAAAAATACACATGCGATCACCTGCTGGTCAATTAATCTTCCTCTGAACTAATACAAATCCTGCTCTTCATTTGGACTGAAATGAAAATAAAGACACATGTGAGTCTTGAAGGTTAAATTTTATTATCCAAAAGGATAATACTTGAAATTATTTCATAACACCTAACAAATGAAGCTGAACATGAAAAGGTGACAGAATCATACCTACAACACATCTTTCATCAAATACGGTTGTTAACTTCCATCTTTGTTTAGGTGTTTTGCTGTTCCTCATGATTGCGTCTAACTATCAGAATCAGCAGCAGGTTGCTCCGTTTCAGTCTGAGGTTTAGTTGTGTTGAGGGTCTGACCTCATGAGGAAATTACTGTCCAGTGATTTTCTCCAAAAAGACTGTGCTAAATTGCTCTGAAAAGCATATTAAACATCAGCGCCAGCTGAAACTTCATTTCCCATGATGCTTGGCACACGGAAGCAATGTGATGACGTCACCGCCAAGGCGGAGCAGGGGTTCTGTACATGCGCAGAACCACAACAACAACAACCGGCTCAAAACTATAAGTGTAGCTGCCCCTGGCACCATGAAGAAAATGAATGGAGAGCCTCGACTGGTGCATAAACTTTTATTTGTTTCTCTGGTCCAAATGCCTTGGACTTCACTCCGAGTTGCACCGTGAAAACTGTTTAGAGATATACAGAAGCGTAAATAAAAGGTGAACACAACTTTGATGTCATAACAGAAATAGATTACATTCTCACATTTACCTTGCTCCGCTGGTCAAGGGTGCTAAACAAAACAATTCCTCAAAGCTGCTTTATCTGTAGATTTGACTAGGTGATGGACAAGAACAAGAAAAACAAACAATGACTATAGTGTCAAACTAATAACCCAAACAAAAGCGTCAATACAGCAAAACTTACGTGGGGATGCAGTCGGCAATGTGCAGCTGAGATGACTTTAGGCTTAAGACCTAATTTCTAGTGATGTTACCTGTGACACGCAGGATTCGAAGCTTGTATCACCAAAACGAACCACCGCAGAGCAAAGCACTGTGTCGGAGCTTGATTTGTTTACTGAAAGTCACGTGACCAATGAGCAACGATGCTTCATTCACCCTTCCACCCACGTGACCGCTTCACACATTGTTTCAAACATTTAAAGCAACGCAAACCGAGAGGCGCAGTTTAATGGCAAGCCAAAAGAGCATTTATTCTGATATCAGGATGTCAGCCAGAATTGTCATGAACATGTAAGCCATTTCTGTCCACTAGTTAACTAGTTAGCCATGTTTGTGTCAACTAGTTAAATAGGGACAGCCTAAATGTCAACTAGTTAACTAGTAAGGCCTAAATTCTCTCTAGTTAACTAGTTAAAATGTTTCATATCTTACTAGTTAACTAGCATTGCTCAGTGTGTTCACTAGTTAACTAGTGTGCATTTATGTCTACCACAAGTTAACTAGTGTGCACATTTTGACCCTCACTAGTTAACTAGTGAGACAAATACCTTCAAGTAGCTGACTGGTATGCATTTCTGCTTTTACTAGTTAACTAGTGAGCAGTTTTTGTGTCAACTAGTTAACTACTGAAGCATAAATGTGTTCACTAGTTAACTAGTGCGCATTCCTGCTGTCACTAGTTAACTAGTGGGCACATTTTCACCCTCGATATTTAACTAGTTGACACAAACATGGCTAACTAGTTAACTAGTGGACGGAAATGGCTTACATGTTCATGACAATTCTGGCTGATATCCTGATATCATAATAAATGCTTATTTGGCTTGCCATACAGGTTTGTATGACCTGAGATTGACGGTTCAGGATTCAGTATTCAGTGATAAAACACCAAGTCGCAAAAATGGATCCTGTAGCAAAAAGCGGGCGTTCTGAGATGTGGGAATGTTTCAATTTAATCTCTCCAAACAAGGTTTGAAAATGTATTTGGTCTAGTCTAGTAAATTACCTTTATAGTAGTAATACTTGGTGCATATTGTAGGGCTATATCTTTTAGACCGTCTGTCATTTTCCTTTAATTAAATTAAAATCTAGTTTGGTATGATTTTTCTTCTTTTATTGGTAATTAATATAATAGTTGATGAGCTTTTCAGTTTGGTTGTACATGTAATGGAATTTAGTATGTCCTATCCTTATGTGAATTTTCTAATCTTCATTTTGTTACTCTATTTCTAAAAAAAGATACATAAATTGAGCTAATTATTCCTGCCTAATAATCCAATAGAAATGTGAAAAGTAAAATATTTGAATATGTAGAGAATGTTAATATGTGTAAATTAGATATATTTCATCACATATCCCATAAAAATAAACATTGTTTCATTTCAAGTATTCACACCAAGAAAAGCAATTTTAGTATATTTAATGTAATGTTCAGATTCAAGATACTTTTATTATATGATCCTGAGGAAGCTTCTTAATGCTTTATTTGTCCATAAAGTTCAATACACCATTCATTTTCAGTAGAATTGGCTGACAATACAATGAAATACAAACATTAACCAGCAGATGTCCTCCCAGAGTTTTGAAGCGTTGAACCTTGAACCTTTTTTCAATACAATTGGATTGTAAAGCTTTGTTGGTTCAAAAGGCTTCACATCATCATCACTACTAATTTCAATACTTCAGTGTTAACTTCTCCACAAACAGATTAACCCAAACAGTTTCCTCTGGAAGGGTGTGGCTTATATAAATTCTGTGAGCCAATTAAGGGTCATTGCCATCAGCTGCTCAGCTGGCAGCTACAATAAGTTTCAGCAAAAAACGAAACTTAGGGTTCTTTGTCCAGTATCACTGGCTGTAAAAGGACGCTCATTGCACGCTCCGATCAACGTGAGCAGATCGAACACCGAACTGCTGAAAAAGCTGGGTTTGGAAACCCAGCAAATCTTCTCTTTTCTGCTCAACTCCAGCTGATCCCGTTGGAGAAACACTCGTGCGGAGAAACAACGGAGAACAGTAAATCACATCTGACCAGCGAACTTCAAAGGGACACCTTTGATCAGCTCAGAGAGGTTTTGCTCCTGCAAGTTTTATTTCATTTAAACTTTTACCTTTTCTCGTCTCTTCTAGACCAAGATAAGCAGTCGACCGCGTGACTTGCTTCAAATTATCAGACGGTTTTTCCTCTATCTTCCGTATCAAACACGTTATATATATCTACCGTGAAGTAAGATCTTTTGTTTATTATTTAAATGTCTGGGTTATTGTCGGTCAGCTGTGGCCAGGCTGCCGACTCTGTTTAGATTAAATAATTTACGAGTGATCTTAGTTGTTTGTTAACTTTTGAAGTGTTTAAGTTTAAGTTTTACTGTGATTTTAAGCCACTAAGTGTTCGGAAAGTTGAGAAATGGACACAATCAGTTCTCCTGTGTGTGAGAGAGGGAGGGGAGAGCCCCACACACACTCACAGCTTACAGCACACAGCTCATTCCTCCAGCCTTATCAGACACACACTCCCCCGCGCACCTGGGAAAACAAAGCATCCGTTTCACACACACACACACACACACACACACACACACACACACACACACACACACACACACACACACACACACACACACTCACACACACACTCATACGTGTTTTTAGTGTTTGTGGGGACATCCTCCATTACACACACATACACCTCTTCAATTATATCAAATTGTTTTGCATTATTAACCTCCTTGTTTAATTAAATGTTATAAAATTCAGATTTTGTCTCCAGTAAACTTCTTTGTGTCGATGTAAAATCTTTGCTCCTAGGATTCCACGAACATTTTAGATAGACTGATAATAATTTTGGATTCATTTCCCCGGTTAAAGGGGATGGTGCCCCGAAGATACTTAATTGTATCTTAATTAATTAATAACTCAGTAAATATTCCCATATTTACAGAATTTATTGAAGAATCCAAAAGTAAGTAAAAACTTACTAATTACTCGCTTCCTCATACGCCCAACATAATTGGTGCCCCGTGTGAGGCGGATACACAGAGATTTTTATCCAACACAAACAAATAAATCTTTAGCTTGGATTAAAATAATCAGTTGTTCAGCCTTGAACCAGCAACAGAGTGGCGCTGGTTTCGCTGAGCAGGAAGCTGCATCGAACTCTCACCAGTAACTCAGTTTCTCATTAAAGGTGCAACATGTAATAAATTCTGACTAACCTTTTTTGGCTAAAATTAACATTTAGTGACTTTAACTCACAGTGGCTATTATAACTAACTGAAACCTTCATTCAAAGACTGATAACACAGTTTGCTAATATTCTGAAGGAATAACTAGCACATTTAACACTGCAAGTGTTGTAAGACGTTGCTACGGCAACGCAGCTTTTGCTAAAATACTGAAAGGAATAGTATTTTAGGCGTCAGTCACGGCATTCCGTGCAATTGAAAAAACGCTAAAACCTGTGCACACAAAGGTTAATTTAGTGTTTTTTGCTACAAAGCTAGCAGTTGCTGCCCAAAGGTGCAGCTTTGAGCTATCTGCAGAAGCTCAACTAGGCTATTTTTGGTTCGGTTGTTAAAATGGAGGATCAGAGTAGTGATCTGATCAACTCCCAGCAACCAGGTGGCGCTGCGGCGCCCGACTATGAACCTGGGCTACTTTCTGGGCAATTCTTGTTCAAACTGGTTGCAGTTGCTCGAGAACCCGACTACCCTTCTAGGGATTTCACTGAAGAACAGCGTAGCGACGAGCTAGAAGCTGTGATGTATCAAATAGAGAACCCGGATGGTACAGTTCCAATCCAGGTTCCCTTGGCTAAGTTAGCCTTGATCCTCTATCAGAGAGAACTTCAACGTGATCAGAAGATCATGGACCTCCAGAGTAAGCTAGCTGAAAAACAGCGAAATGGAAGGCAGAAGGATGACGAGGAGGACGATGAAACCAGCACAGAATCTGGGGAAGATGGGGAGGAGACCCCGCCCCCTCCTACTGATGAGAACAAACAGTGGAAAGGGGGGAAACACCACGACTCTGAGGTTGAGCCAGAGCCCTCTCCCACGCCGGTAAGAAAGCAAGCCGGCAAAGCCAACCTGGGTCCGCCCAGGACGACCGGCAAAGAGCAATTGGTTTCCTCCACCCGAGGAAGCGAGGGACCGCCGTTCCGCCGTAAAGGTAGGCCACCTCGTAGCCTGCCTCCTGATACATCCCCGTACGATAATCGACAGTATGTAGTTTTGGACACTCTGGACGGACGCACGCCGCA